ATTGAAGCTGTACAACAGCATAGCAGGTGTTCAGAATCAACAAATATCGTCTTGAAGTTTTCCTATTAACTTCAAGTGATATTTACATGGACAATGTCCTGTTATCAAACCAGTGAGAGCTCAACTGAGAGTCACTGCTAGTCATTGAAATGTTCGGAATTATGAACCGTTTCAACTACCTAGCAATGGAAGTATTCCACTTTAATTTTTTCCCATTTCTTGATCTTCATTTTAAGAGAACAAGCAGAAACTCCACATAATGGTTCTGGTTCTATGTATGGTTGAGCCTGGCTAACGTGTCGACTTTTTCATTCCCTTAAATACCACAGTGGCCAGGAACCCAATATAAGTTCACTTAGGCTCTGAACCATTTGGTGGATTTTTTTTTAACTTTTTGTTAAAATTTGACAGATGGAAAGTTATCGATTAACTCTGCTATCCGAGCGTGGTTATTTCTGACAGACAAGAAGTTAAATTTTGACAACCGTGGCTGAGTTCTTCTCGAAAACCGGTCGATCGACAGAACAGCGATTCTCGAACATACAGAATAACTTTCGAAATGTTACTTTTAACCACGAGTTAAGTTTAACTCGGCAAATGGTTCACAGCCTTAGTTTCGACTATAGATACTATAGATTCCATAGATAAGCGGAGGAAAAGTATAATGTAGCCAAACGAACTGTCAGTTAGTGTAGCCAAACAAGCATGACGTCATCATGGTGTTGTTTTAGGGAGAAGTATTGTAATATTATGAGCACAAAACGTTTTCCACACTGCACATTCCGATTTATTTCGTGGACAACGGAAGCCTCCCTTAGCTCAGTCGGTAAAGGCGCAGCTACAAAGCAAGACCATGCTGGAGGTGGCTGTGTTCGATTCCCGGTCCGGTCTAGGAATTTTTCAGGTTGGAAAATTTCTCGACTTCCTTGGGCATAGAAGTATGATTGGACTTGCCACACAATTATATCAATGCAAAAATGGTACAGGCATCGAAAGCTCTCAATTAATAACTGTGGAAGTGCATCTAGAACACTAAGTTGAGAGCACGCAATAAGCTAATATGCGATATGCAATAAGCTTGAAATGCGAAGAAGAAGAAGACGAAGGAAGAAGGAAAGATAAAGCAAACCATTCCTCGATACATTGTTGCAAAGATTTGCTTTGCACTTCATTTTGAACTTTTACGCACGCAACAAAACAAAACTGCACAACGAAGAGCTCTATGATGGCATGAATTTTTTTCATGGATGCCAGTAAGATCATTTATTTTTCATGGTTGCCAGAACAACTTTTTGTACCTCCGCTTATCTATGGAATCTATAGTATCTATAGTTTCGACATACCAATTTCTGCAGTGACATTGCACATTCCCATACGAGTTTTGAATAGCATTTTGTTGATTTTAAAGCATTTAATGCTGATTGACTATCAGACATAATGCAGATATTCGAATGTTTATAATGTCTGCAGAATTGCTTGAATTTCTGCTTGGAACACGGTTCGCCAGTAACGCATAGCTATTGAGATATCTATCCCTGGACCAATTACCCCTGCTCCAACACGATTGTTCAATCTTGAACCGTCTGAATAAAAAACAGTTGAACCGTGGACGGATGTTTGGTCCCCCACTTTCTCAAACATTACGATCAAATTCTGTTGAATTGAATAAACGATCGAAATGATATTTTTCTCCATCCAGTCTTCATTTTTAATACAAGATAATCAATATCAAACATTTTTAGAATACTAAGGTGTCCGGTAAGATCACCTTCAAGGAAGTAGTTTGTCTGTGAACCCTTAAAAGGCTCATTTCAGCTTCTAATTGGATAAATTATACAAAGGAAGCAGATAAAATAGAGCATCCAGCGCCATACTCGGTGTACTGTTCACTGCACCAGTTATTGAGAGAGTACCAAGTCTTTGCAGTCTTCCCAGCTTCTTCTGATCCGATTTGTCATTAGTTTTCGGCAACCAAACCAATGATGCGTAGGATATTCTGGGTCATACAATTGTCAAATAAATCCAGTGGATCATTTTTGGTTTTAGGTCCCATTTCCCATTTCCTACCAATATTTTTTTTACTTATCCAAGCAATGACCATTGGTTGCCTTATTAACAGCCTGGTCTAGATGTGAATTTCAGATAATTTTACTGTCAAGAATTAAACCCAGATCCTTGACTATGCGTGAAAATTCTAAAGATGTTCCTTTCAATTGTATGTTATTTATAGGAAATTTTCTTTTCCGTGTTAACTTAACGGTACAATTGTGGTCTTAGAAGGGGTTATATCCAACCCTTCTTTAGCGCACCACAACGAAACATAATATAAAGCAGTTTGCATTCTACCTGAAATTACATTGTCAAATCATCAAATCATCATCAAATATCATCAGCAAAGCCAATAATCTCGAAGCCCTTTGCTTCTAAGTTTTTGAGAAGTTCGTCAAGTATCAAAACCACAATAGAGCACACTGCATTCCGTTAAATTCGTCATTTGGCGTAACAGGGATGGATCGCTCTTTTGGGACTTTTTCATTAATTTTTAATAAAGAATGCTTACGTTAAATCCAATTGAATTTTCAGTTAACCCATCTTAAAATATGTAGTTTAGTGCTATTAATCTCCCTATCAAAATTCAAAATTTCCAAACGCCACGCCAAATGACGAATTGAACATAATGAATTGAGCAAAAACTCATCATGTGACACATCAAATTACGATTCTATGACAGCACGTAAATGATTTTTCGTCAACAAAACAAAAGAATATCGAGAATCACTTCGCAGAGAATCACTGGCTATTAAACCAGTTACCTATGAACGAAATATAAGTCAATACCTTTCAAATAACCTATAAAGATCGAAAATCGGTCGTAAAATGGCAGAGATATGAGCAAAAAACATTCACATGTTTTTAAAGGGTGGCCCTAAACTTATGATCGAGAGTGCACCATTCGACTCAACTCGACGAGATCAGAAAATGTCTACGTGTATGTGTGTAAGTGCGTGTCAAACAATTTGGGCCGAAGTGTTTCTCAGTAACCACTGGACAGAATTGAACGCAACAAGCAAGCAACAAATGAAAGTTATCATGGTTTCGTAGAATGCTATCAAATATTTTTATAATGAGGTTATAAACTGGTTCCAGTCATATCGGAACATTCTCTCATGAATTCATATCCTAAGTCTAGAATCGGCCTGAAACGTAGTAAACCCATCATGCGACACCTCAAATCACATTAGAATTTAAAAACAAGGTCATTGGCAGCCAAACTAAGTAGTCCAGGACCACATCTGTACATGTTCCAGACAGGGTTACTTCCACTCACCAGCTATAAAAAATTAGTTTTCCGAATTATGAAAACATTAGATGTTATGATGATAATTAGTACAGTCAAGATTCCTATAGTACGGTTAGTAGGGACCGCACTATAGGACCCGGCATTAACGAATACACGTAGCATATGTGATTAGAGCTAATTGGGGACAAACGCTTATTGTAGGGTAATTTGAAGAGATAACTTGCTGGTGTCGTATGAAAAGTTATTAAACAGAAAATTTGCCACCTTTTGGGAACATTTAGCATCCGGAAAGTCACGAGTCTGATCCTTCGGAAGACCCGGAACATCCGTAAAAGTGGTCAATTCATGAAACTAATCCTAGCCTCCGCGGTTTTTTCGAAACCACTCAAAAACGTCCTATCAGACTGAATTCAAAGTTGTGACTCGAATATGGACACTGGAGACCACAGTATGGTCCTCCGGAAGATCCGGAACATCCGTAAAATTGATCAATTCATGAATCTGATCCTACAGCTCAGCGAATTTTTTGAAATCAATCCTAGACGTCTTATCAGAATGAATTCGAAGTTGTGACTGGAATATGGACACGAAGTTGTGACTGGAATATGGGCGTCCTATAGTTATCCAGTGGCAACCGTACTATAAGAAACCGGCAAGAACGAATCCGTACTATAGGAATTTTAACTGTACTTGGAAGTTACAATAAGAGGTCGTTAAATATGTGTTTGACACATAAAACCTGTCAATATTGCTTTCAGAGCGTCACAATCAGCGATTAAACGATTCGTGAGCGCTCACTTTGAGTGAACGCTCGCGAATCATAAGATCGCTGATTATGACGCTCTGAAAGCGAAATTGACAGGTTTATGAGTCAAACACATACTTCTCACTCTCTTTTTGTTACTAACAAGTACAACATATAATTATATCATCTAATAGCAAGTGAGTAGAAGCAACCCTGGTTGCAGATACCCCCGGGAAAGTAGACATAATCAGACTTAAACTAAAACCCATCATGCGTCACATTAAATCACATGAGAATTCAAAAATAAGATCATTGGTGGTCTTACTGAAAGTAAGAAGGGTCAGATCTTTATTTAAGGCATTTCGTTAAAGATATTTTTTTAATTTTACTGAACATCAAACAGTAAATTATACTCAATTAAGTTCGTTTAAATTATGTTCATATAAATAGTTATGTTTCAGGATAGTTTTAGATTTACACCGATTTACAACTCTGATTTTATCATCCACAATGTTTATTTAGTTTTTCTTTATTAGTTGTAGGTATCTACTTTGTAGCCATCTTTATTCTTCAATCCTCTATGTTTATTTTGAGTAATTTGTATAGACAACCTGAGACAATGCACACTAACAAATTTTGTATTCGACAGAAAATCCTCAAATTTCAAGATATTTGTTTAAAGTATCGTATCGTGTATTATTTGAGTTTTCTTCCTCGTGGTGTCTGGTAGTACAAATGAATTCATACGCGAAAGCTGCCTGCATTGGTTTTCACTTCATGTAAATAGTTTTTCAATCTGAATAGTGTCACTATATAGCGTAGATCAATTGAAACCATCCAACTGTACAGCCTCGATAGAACTATTCACCTTCATTGTAACAAAATATAGATTCACCATTGGTGTTTAACCAAAACAAAGGTGATTTTTCCTGCTAAATATGTCCATCATTACAGCCCTTCGTAAGATTGCCGTTAATCCCCCAAAACCGATGAAACCCCTATACTGGACCAGAATAGTAGCACCAAAAACGAGTCCAGTCACGGAAACAGACGCCCCATGTGAGCTTTCCGACGAGGTCAAACTGCCACTCTGGCAAGAATTGGAGGAAACTAATCTCGACAATATGGATGAGTTCACCGAACTCTTCTCCCGGCAGGTAGTTGTACCGAAAATTAAAGAAAAAGTCGAAAAGCCTGAAAAAACCGTCAAAGTTCTTGACAGCAAGCGCTCACAGAATGTTGGAATTTTCGCCAAAAGTTTACACGTCCACTTCGATGAGATTGAGTTTGCAATCTATCACTGTGATACATCAGTGGTCAGTCTGGAGGCATTGCAGAAAATACTTGAAATCAAAGCTTCCGACGAAGAACTCGCCCAAATTAAAGAATGTGCCGAAGGAAACATACCGTTGGATCCTCCAGAGCAGTTCCTGTTACGTATTTCGGAAATTTCTTCCTTTTCGGAAAGGATTTCTTGTATTGTGTTTCAGGCAGAGTTTGATGAACATTACATCTCCGTAACTAGAAAACTAGAGACAGTCAAGCATACCTGTGAGTTTCTGATCGATAGCGAGCAGCTCAAGCACCTATTTTCTATTATTTTGACGCTGGGAAACTATATGAATGGCGGTAATCGGACACGAGGTCAAGCAGACGGATTTGGACTGGAAATTCTCGGGAAGTTGAAGGATGTAAAATCCAAAGACAATAATATCACTCTACTGCATTTCATCATCAAGACCTACATCGGCGCATGCCGAAAGAAGGGCGTTCTTCTGCACGAGGTGCCACTGCCAGTACCAGATCCTGGCGATCTAGATCGAGCTGTGCTGGTGGACTTTGACGATTGTAAGACGCAGCTAAACATGCTCAAATCCAAAACAGACGGTAAGTAGGAATTTCAGATGATTTTTTTTATCCGTTCATTTATTTGGAAGGCTCAACCGCGTTAGCTTTATGGAGCCGATTAATACATTTTGGTCAGTTTCTGTCCCATTGATTTTTTGATATTATTTTAGATATTTACCTCTTTGATTGATAAATCAAACTAATAGCAATTTTTGATGTTCTGTTACCCAATTTTAATAGTAAAACTTGCTATTGATTTGATATTTTCGTCTACTCGGGAAGCGGCTGCTTGTTTTCTCATGCGCCCGTAATTTTTTTCCTTTCTCCTGTTTACTTCACTTCCATAATATGCTGTTGTTGATTAAACAATTCCTTTGCCATCAAGTAAGTCGGGTCTTCACGGTAATCGAACCGCTTCTGAATCTGGTTTCCACTTGCTTGTTCTTCTTTTTTTAGCTGTCTTCATCTGGGGTCGTCTCGTAGATTGCCATAACTTCTTCGGCTAGCACCTCAATCGCGTCCGCTATGGCACCATACGAACTAACTTCCAAACTTCGTCCTGGTCACGATTTCTTCATCCTGCTTCCGTTATTCGTTCAGTTGTTGCTTCTCTGGCTGCTTCCGTGACTTCCACTTGGGATAGGAATTCATCCGGTTCCCCTTGCAAACAAAACACGCGTTCTTGTTCCCTTCATAGAATACATTCCTCTTCCGATTGCGGAAATTCATTGCATGTGTCGGTCTCAGGGCATTTAAATTTACATGTCTTTTTCGTAGTGTGTATTTTTATTGGAGTAAAAATGATAAATTTTACATGGGGTGATGCATATATTATGGGGGGGGAGGAAGTGTAAGATTTTGTGACAAGCAATGCAGTAGATATAGGAAAAGCGTGACGAAAGGGGAGAGAGGGGAGGGATTTTTTCTAAACTTAGCGTGACATGATTGATGCATGCACACTTAGAAATACCTAATCTTACACGTGCTGGAATCCATCTTTGACATGAAGGATGAGACGTAAACAAACATGTCATGTAAAATTAAGTGCTCCGAGACTGAAAAGTTCGAAAGTACGTGATTGAGCTGAATTTTGCGTCTATTATGACTCAATTTTATGTCAAAATTGACGCTCGTATATGTCAGTCTCAGAGCACCTAAATTTACATCAATTTTTCCAAGTGTGTGGCCCTTATTTAGAAACGCATTGAAACGCTTAATACAACCGGTTGATACAATTAAAATTTGATCAAAATGTCTTCGTATATGAAATATCACCGGCGTATTTTACAGCATTTCTCTCTACATTAAAAACGCTTTTTCTTCGCTGTTAATGCAACATATACATATATCGTGAGATGGGAATACTCTTATTTTTGTCTATGGAAAGTCTATCAAACCATCGAACAACCATCGAAAATCACAGAAATAAACTATAATTTTATATTTTTTTTTTCTTCTATTCATTTTTTTTTTTCAAAATGGTCAATTTTTAATTTAGAAACGCATTAAAACTCTTGACAACAACGTAGAGGTATTGTTAATAATTGTTCACGTATTTTTAACTAACATTCGCAGAATGCCGACGGATATCGGAAAAGGTAATACTGGAATCCGCTGAAAACAACATTGAACCGTTCAAAGAGAAAATGGAAGCCTTCATCGAAGTTGCAAGCAAGAGGATTGATAAGCAGTATCGCAAACTAGACGACTGTCGAGAAATATTCCTCAAAACTATGGTATTCTACAACTTCACACCGAAATCCGGAATCATGGAGGAGTGCAAACCGGAACAATTCTTCGAACTATGGACACCATTCTCCCATGACTTCAAAAGCATTTTTAAGAAAGAAATTCTGCAGCTTTCTAACGAATTGTAAGAACCAAATAAACATGTCATATTTTTATTCTATTTTTTTCATTACTAATTCCAGGTTGAAGAAAACTAAACGACCACCCCCAACTACGATTAGCAATAGCAAGCAAACATCGACCGGTAAACTAAAGGCTGGTTCCTTGAAAGAGCGATTGAAGCGCCTTAGCAATAAGAACTGAAACTCGTCGTTTTAGTGACTTTTGTCTGTATAAATTTCTGAATACAATTCGTAAAACTTTCCTACTCACGAGCGTAGAGTATGGGCAATGATTTTGGCAACAGGTCTCGTACGTTTTTATTTGCTCTATATTATAATACTAAGCACTTAAAAACGTCAAACTCTGATTTAATAAATTTCTTAGACTCTCCGGATAGGTAATTGCAAACCTTGGGATGGACGATCAGATAATCTGGTTTGCAATTATAAAAAAATGAGGAAAGCATTGAAGTCAAAAAAAAAAATGTGTTGCCAAAATCGAACCCTTACTGTAATAGGAAATTGTCACTTAACATAATAACTACTATATCGTCATATTGATGAGAAAACAGGAACATTCAGAGATATATTTATTCGAAACATGGATAAGCTATTTATCATGCATGGCTATTTTAAATTGTTAGAACGAAAATATGATAGATTAGTTTGTAGGAACCGGAAGAATCTGAAATGATACCACGCATTGTAATTATCAAAACGAAAGTCTACTGAAATATAGCTTCTATTTATAGAAAACAATATGATATGAAGATCTTAAATAAATCATGTTCAAACATTAGAATATTTCCGTTTTCTTTTGAATTGAATTCGAAATTTACCTCTCACGTTATGGTTGGATCTTTGAATTATACTCACATGGAATTCACACTAACTTGCAATTCTCAAGGAAACCGGGTTACTAAGTTTGGCACTTAGTTTGCTAATGTTCTCAAAAAACTTTATTTTGCACCTCTTAGATTATAGTGCTGTTTATGTAACTACCGTAAAGTACCATAATTTCACGCAGCGGCTAATTCCACGTATTTCGACAACATTTTGTATTATTGTGATATTTTATAAATTTATAATTTTCCCATATTTATGGAGGCGAACCAGCCTAAGGCTGAAAGCCTCCTTAATAAAGCTAAATAATAATAATAATTTTCCCATATACTAGTGAATCATCTACATATCTAGATTTTCGGTTGTTGGTTTACAACAATTTATGTTTTGTTTTTGAGGACTTCGAATTCAGCGAGAATGAACCATTTATTGCAGCTTTTGTACTTATTTTGCATCAGATATCACTATGCGGATTTTAGCAGTGACATCTAACGGAAAATATACAAAAACCGTTTTGCAGTCAACATACCTAGATATCCGTCTAACAGACATCAGAATAGAATACCTGACAGACACCTCCAGATATCTAGTACTTTTACTTGTATTAGGGAAGGTGTACCTACAATGACTATACGTTCCTATTATGGTGTGTTCCAATTAAGGCCTATGGAGTTCTCATAGGCAGTAATTGGAACACAATATTCCATGTACAGGCATACTGTATATGTAGTACCATCGTATTTTTTTTAAATATAGTACGTAAATTGCGTTTCTAGATTAAAGTAGTACAACCATAGAGGTAACTCTAAGACTAGAAGGTCCCGAAATAACGTGCTCAACTTTTTGGCTCAGCTCTGTCCCAAGCTAATCGATTCACCCCTCGAAACATAGGAAACACCAATAACCCCTCATTTTATCTGTCAAACTTTCATAGCGAATCAAAACAAACATTGCGTAGTACTAGAATTTCGACTAGAATGGGATACGTTAATCGTTTGCTTGGGACCAATAGGCTAGTCAAGTAGTGAGCCAATTTAAAATCGTTAGTTTCGTATTGATTGTTGGTACAACTTTATGTCGGTACATACCTTACCTTACCATTCAGGCTAAGGTCTGAGTTTCTTTCCTGAGTCATCTCCATTCAACATCTTCTTCTTCTTCTTCTTATTTGCATTATTTATCTTCGGTCTTTGTTCCGCAACCACCGACCAACGTTGATTTCCAATAGGATTGTCCAATTGATGATTAATCACCGATGGCAACCGAGTTCCAGGGAGGCAAACCCACATCTGGAACGTATCGAACCCATAAACACATGAGCCGGGACCAACGACTTTCACCTCAGAAAAATCTAAACGACCTCGACTGTGATTGAACCCAGACACACTGGTGTTAGAAAGCAATCACTGCAGTGCACTGAACGAAAACATCCGCAATACTTCTAATGATTATTGAATTGCTAGAACTCTTTAACAATCTGCTTTATTCCAATATGGCTGTCATCCAAATAAAGGCTGATGTTTATTTGTAAGGTGGTTGTAAAACATTGTCACAGGTGTGGTACTAATGAGACTTTTCTCTACACTGCCTCAGGGTCAGCATGCGCGTTCTAATATCTGGCTAAGAGAGCCTAGTCGTGACTACTTCAAACCAGGAGAACAGGATTTTTCAGTAATCAAAGTAACACATCTAGTCCTTGTTACTTTTTATGCCTTGTTGATAGTGACAAGAATCGGCTTTGTCCACCGAGGATGATCTTGAGACAAGGAAAAAATGAGTTAGTTAGTCTTCGTCTATGTGATTCAGCGGCGCCGGTGTTGTAGTGGTAAGCGTGATTATCTCTCACCCCAGCAGGCCTGGGTTCAATCCCAGTCGGCGCCGCCGGGATGTTCTGAGGCATAACATCTCTGATCACGCCTTCCTTCTGAAGGGAAGTAAAGCCGTTGGTCCCCGGTTCATGAATTGATGGGTCGATAGGTAGGGTCCAGATGTGGGAGCTGCCTCACTGGCGTCGGTAGCATTGGTGCTCAGCACGGAAAACAAGATCGACGGAAAACAAATCAAGAAAAAAAAATCTATGCGATTCTAATCTTGTATTCGTTGTTCGCTAGTTTCATGTGATTAAAACATGGTCATTATCGGTGTCATTCCCTAATTTTGTTGCAAAGGAACCCAATGTTGACCTTTGGAGGGTGTTTCAACATTCCGCCTTAGGCGCGCCTTTGGAGGGTGTTCCAACACTTTTAATTAGAGTCGGATCCTTGCGATAAATGCAAGAATGACAACTGTAAAAAAAATCGAATACTTCATCACTTCTCAATAGTGATGTAGTAATACGACATGCACTAAACTAAGGACACGGGATATACTACAATAGACCAAATTACTGGTCGCAGTGGTGTTAGGTCCCGAACAGAGGAAAAATAACACCCCTGTTCAACCACAGCATACCTCCAATCCAAGGTTGGAGCGGAGTGTCTTGAAACCAGCTACCGGAAGTCCCTTAGTCAAGATGTCCGCTTGTTGCCCAGCCGATCGCACAAATCTGATCTATATCTTCCTCTGCTGTACCAGATCCCGCAGGAAATGAAACCTTGTATCCATATGCTTCATCCTCTTGCACTCCCTGGAATCTTCGGCAATCCTAATCGTAGACTGATTATCCTCGTACATCGGTACTGGACCATCCAGTGGCTTCCCCAGATCTTCCAGCACACGCAACATCCACAACGTGTTGCACGTGGCTATGCAAAGTGCCGCAAGCTCTGCCTCCGTCGACGACAGCGCTACAGTCTGCTGCTTCCGCGTTAACCAGATGACGGTGCATCCAAATAGCTTCAACACGCAGCCACTCACCGATCATTGATATGCTGGATATTTTGCTTAATCCGTATCGCAAAACACCTGTAGTAACGACTCATTCTTTTTGGCTCTGTACACCAAACCGGCGTCCAACGGTCCTTTAATGTACCTGAGACTAGACCTGAGAACAAGCTTGCAAATGCTCATTACAGCTAAAATGCTATTTTTCGGATTTATGAAGCTGTGAGATAGTTCAATGATAATTCTTATTTACAAGATACAAGAAAAGAAGGTAAAGTGTGTGTATTACACATAAAACCTGTCAATTTAGCTTTCAGATGGTCACAATAGCGATTAGCTGTAACGATGAGCAACGCGATGAGCGAGCAATCAGCGATCATAAAATAGCTAGTTGTGACCTTCTGAAAGCAAAATTGACAAATTTTATATGCCATACACAAACTTTACCACCTCTTCTTGTTTCTTACAGATAAACATTATCATTTTAGTATCCCATAGTTTCATAATTACGAAAACTAGCATTTTAGCTGTAATGAGCAATTGGAAACAATGAGGTGATCGCGCATGGAAGATGCGTTTACCCTATATTGCGCACATTATATGTGCAACGAAAATTGCGGAAACGCCAATAAAAGTGCGCTTTTACGTTGTACCGTCTTGGTGTTTCGTGATCACCTCATTTTGCTGATGGTACCAGTAAATTAGTTTAAGTATAACGTCGAATGTATTTTTCGAGAGAAATTTTTATATGGGAAATACGGTTTAACCTTGTCCTGTCACGGTCGCCATGTGAAGTATCCTGCTATCTGTCACTTGTGTTTCTCATTAAATGATTCAACTTCGCTTGTTGATGGTTTATGCAAGATTGATTGTATTGTTCAAATTTAACTTAGCCTAAACTGGAGGTATTTGAAGTCATTATGTATTTGCTAGCCAATCAGCGATCGATACATAGATCTACCAAGAGAGGGAGAGAAATGATCAAGCGAGAAACCGCGCTGCGGCTTTCCCACGTTACATGTCGCATGGTGACAAAGCCGCTTGGAAACAGGCGTAGTGCATTGGCTTAGTAATTAGATCCTTTCATCGGAAATTGATTATGTAGGGTCGATGACTGGCGACAGTTAGGGAATTTTGACTTAGCAGTGGCGCAACAAATACGATCTGCTGGAAATGGACAGAATTCGATGGCGTCTATTATGCAGATGCCACACATGGGTGGATATTTCTCCAACCATTGTTCTGAAAATAATTATAAGCTATTTTCGTGGCGCTCTTACATAATCATACTAGATATGCTTGGAAGTTATGAATTAGGTTGGCAGTGAAATAGTCATAAGTGGAATTACATGATAAAGACTCCCCTAATAAAACTTGTATCGTTAGTACGCTTAATGACGTGTTCAGAGAATCATCCATACAATTTGTGGAATAGTTCTGTCATTTGAGTTATCGTTCGCGTATGATATTTTTTATTAGGCTCGCTCATTTGCTGGTTTTTCTCGAGGGGGCGTCACATCTAAAACTCAATTCTAGATGCTCTAAACATCTCAATCTACGAAAAATCTTCTTTCATTTCTCGCATCTACTTGCATCGCATCATATTTTTGCAGTAAATCTTCAGAATCGTCATCAATCTTCTTTCTATGTACTCAGCGTCCGCGCAGCAAAACAACATCTTTCCTGCATCGTAGATCGAACATCGTAGATAGAGTTATTCTATGCTTTTATCCGGTGGCCTTCATGTGTCGGTTTTATTGTTCACCTGATAATATTTTAGCTCATTTGTATCCTCACGCATTGACTTATTGTTATGCTGAAATTCGCCAAACAAAGCGCAAAACACAACTTTTGATTAAACTTTCCAATACCAATTCGATTCCAATTTAATCTGATTTGGTCTTCAACTCCAACTCGTACTTTTTGATACGCTCCTGACTTTCTACTTCCAGTTTCATTTTAGTAAGCGCAAGTCTTTCATCACGTTCCATTTCAAGCTTTTTGATTTCCATTTCTTGCTCCAACTGCAGTCTCTTTATTTCAATATCCACATTTTTCTGCTCTCTCGACAAGCACAACTTTTCCCGCTCCAGGTCTAATTTTTGCCTTTCTAGATCTAACTGTTGCTGCAACTTCATCACTTCAAACTTCAACTTTTTCTCCTGCATCACCACCAGTTGAAATACAGAGGATGTCTCTGGAGCTGGCCTTTTCCATTGTTGCCTATCACCATAAACTGATTTAGCTCTATAATCCGTTTCACTATTACTAGCCGTTGATGGTTCCGGAGTGTATCCTAGACGGGTATGATACACCACGTGATCATCAACTGGTTCTATCTGCCCTGGATGATATGTACTATCCAGTTTGTCGTTGTCCGGTTGAATTTCAGGCTCTGTTACTTCTACCTTGATTTTAATGTCATCTGGAGGCAGCTCTTCCTGTACATTGCAGCTAGGTATTGATTCAAGCTCCGTAGATAGTATATCCGATGTTATCAGCTCGTCAGCATACTCGTCCAGATCACTTGACATTGTTGTTATTTCACTCGTAGTTCTTGTAGTCAGTAGGTGCCCAAACAGACTTTCTAGGGCATCAAAATATGGACAACATCTTTCCATATGATCTAAAAAAAAAATATTTCTTCATTTATGCGTTGTTTTTTTAAACAGACATTTGTCGATACTACACACCACGATATAGAAATTCGTTGCCCTCAGCTAGAAGTTTAGCACCCGTTTCGGCTTTCCAGGTAGCTGTAGTAAGAAAGGATGTTTTCAAATTACGCATTTTGTTTTTTATTATCTGCCACTTTATCGGTCTGACATCGGGGGCTTTTTCACAAACGCTAGCGTAAAAAATCTGTGCCGTTGGTTTCTGCAATGTAAAGTAGAAGTGCATTCAGTAATGAAATCGTCCGAAAGTTTAGGACGATTGAAAAATAAAACTGGAACTAATTTACCCACCACTGGCGGGCGACACCTGTTGGATATGACAAAATTAGAAAGTATCTTGAAACGGGATAATGTTGATTTCCCCTCAACAATCATGGCATATGAATGTTATCATTTTTTTTTAAATCCTTTCACCACGCATTTCCTCTTTATTTTTCAAATTAAAATTCGGAATTTTGAAAACTACTTTTTTGGAAAAAAAAAAATCTAAGGGCTTGTAAACAGTAGTCAAAAAACTTCATCCGATGAACACTGAGTTCATTCGTGACGTCACACTGCAGGACCTAATAAGGTTTTGCTCCGTCGGGGTTAACCTCAATCTGATGACAGTTTAGTGGTACTGTTTACGTGGACTTAGTCAATTTTTTCTTAGATAGATTTTCTCGATATTTTTTCAGACTGAAGTAATATGTAAGCCACACTTCTGCAATGTCCACGAGCAACATCCTTTCACCGCGCATTTCCTCGACAATTTTCAAATTAAAGGTTCAGTCGATTAAGTTGAGTTCATTTGTGACGTCACGCTGCCGTAATTAATAGGATACAACAGTCACGAAAAAACGGAATCGCGTTCATCACTTTGACATTCAGTAGTTCTTTGTTGCCATAAAAATTCTTATGGTGACGATTTCAGCGCGTTTTGTCTCCAATGAATCAGACGATACTTATTATTTTTAAATTTTACCAAGGAATGCTTCTCACGGCAATATTTATGTTTACTGCGATTTAATGTGATTGACTTCCAATGTAAGAGTATTATCAACAATCAATACGAAACTAACGATTTTAAATTGGCTCACTACTTGACTAGCCTATTGGTCCCAAGCAAACGATTAACGTACCCCATTCTAGTCGAAATTCTAGTATGTACTACGCAATGTTTGTTTTGATTCGCTATGAAAGTTTGACAGATAAAATGAGGGATTAGTGGATTTTCCTATGATTCGAGGGGTGAATCGATTAGCTTGAGACCGAAGAGAGTACCAGAGCTGAGCCAAAAAGTTGAGCACGTTATTTCGCAACCTTCTAGTCTTAGAGTTACCTCTATGGTATTATGGTCTTTACCCTGATGGGTGGATTAATTCCTATCTCCTGTAATTTAACAGAGTTTGTCCATTTTCTATAACTTGATTTTAGAGTAATAAAATTGTAGATCCAAGTCATGGCAGATCATCAAACCATGTGATCTCATTTACCCCATATCCTGGGGAAAGTAGTTTTGGGACATAACAAACATTATGCCATAATTTGGGAGTAGCAGGCTTAAGCCTTCCTAATGCATTAGGAAAAAATTGCAGTGTTGTCAGGTCAACAATTACCCCAATGCACTCAGGAGTAAATCCCTATAGTAAAAATATGGACGTCTGTCAAAAGTTTTTCTAATCGAATCGTCAAAATGCACCGCTTTGCTCGATTGGAACATCTTTTTTTTCAGTTTTGAGGTGACAATCGTCCATACTTCAACTAGAGGGCTTTACTCAGGAGCGGTACTCCAGATTTTTGGGTGACGAACTCTCAGTTGCGCCCATACCTCTGGCTTACAATTTTACGATGCCCAAATCACATCCATAAGGGTAACTTGTCTTCAGCGTTGCTTTTAAAATTTACGAACGAGGGAAGGCGTTCAATATTTCAGATTTATAAAACTGAGAGCTCCCAGTAGTTCAGGGACCTTCTTAGAAGCCAAGGGGAATTCGTAAAAGCTAAGAGAACATCATTTGACTTCAGAGATTTTTGTAGAAGCCCGGACAACATCTTAAACGCAAAGGAAACGAAGAATTTCAAGGAACTTCATAGATCCGGAGAACTTTGAGATTTGGGCGTAATTGCTTTTGTAAATAAACACGTCAATCGCCGATTTCTCACGAATAAAAGCTAAATCTCGGAAACAAACTATACCAAATGATAGAGGAATCATTCTTCTACCTGTTTGTGTTGTTAGTTTTCGAGATTAAGCTTTGATTCGCGAGAAATTGGTGATTGATATGTTTGTTTACAAAAGCAATTAAACCCTAATCTCGAAGTTCTCCGGAGATCTTCAAGAAATCATCGTAGAACTTTTGAAAACTTCGTTAACATTCATTAAACTGAGTAGAAGTTCAGGAAACTTTCTTGAAATGCAGCAAATTTTATAGATGTTGAGTTGACTTTGTAAAAGCTCAAACATTGTAGAAGTTCAATGAACTTCATAGAACTTAAGAGAATTTTGTAAAATTTCAGCAAGTTTTGTGGAAGATCAGAGAAGTTTGTAGAAAATCATCAAACATTGTTAAAAATAAGCGATAAATTAAACGAATTTTGTAGAAGGGGATTTAGGAATTTTTTTAAACTTAATTAGACTTTTTTTAAATTTCAAGGATTTTGTAATGTTTATTCTAGAAAAAATTGAAATCTTCGATGGAACCTTATGCAAGTATTAAGGAAACTTTTTTAAATTTTAAGAAACTACTTTAAGTTCTTTTACAAGCTTTGTTGAAGTGTAATGGGGTTCAAATAGATTCTTCGCAATGAATCAACGATATTCTAAAAAGTTAAGGGAACTTTTAAGAAGTGCAGTGAACTTCATAGGAATTTTGAGGAGCTCTAGGAACTACGTGAATGTTTTTCCAAAAGTATAGAAGCTTGGCGAACTCCGTAGAAGTTAAGAGGATTTTGTAGACGCTCAGGGAGTATTGTATTGCGCATTTCACACCAAGTTGGACTAAGAAGCACGTTTTTTATCATTACACACGTTTACGTGTAATCGTTTTAGTGTCTTCGGTGCACTTATTCCTTATGATGCAAACAACAAGTGCTTTGAAAACCTCAACACAATTTGACCTACATGTGCACTTTTATCACACTTTTTTCATTTTTGTAGCAGTCCAATTTTCGATGCAAGCAGCAATATAAGTTCAGTGTTCAGAGTACGGTACTGAATGCACTACTTACGAAGATTAAAGAAAACTGTTGATTTTTCTTAACCCGCTTCTCCCAGAGTACATTACAATAGGAGCATCCATTAAGTACGTCACGCCTAAGGAGGGAAGGGGTATAGTGGATGTATAAGAGTCACATCAAAAGAAAAACAGTTGAATTCGCATCACGGGTTTCGAAACATTCCCTTCCCTTTTACTTGGCAACAGAACAATTCTGCATCAATTTCAATAGCCAGAAAGCAAATAAGCGGCTGTAGTATTTTTAATATTTGTTAAAATAAATAGATAAAATCACCCAACAAACATTAAATGTTTGATAAGAGCTTATTCAGACAAAAATAAGCTTCTACCCAAATTTGGGTAGTTTTGAAATAGCGTGTACATCAACACTAGGAAGGAGGTTTACACATTTTGTGACAAGCATTGCATTAGGTGACGTACTTAATGAATGCTCCCTAGACATTTATTTTAAAATCCATACCAAATTGTGGCGACTGAAAAAGGAAAGGAAATTTCACTGAGTGTTAATTATAAATTAGAGACATCCCGCATAAACGCGAACCATAACTTGACCTTACCGAAAATTGTTGAAAATTGTTTATAATCCCTGCTAAACTTTAACTGAAATGGTTATGGAACTTTACATGAACGTTTGTGTGATAAAGTGTTAACCTTATGTATTATGGTTCTTTGGAAGTGAACCTTACAAATAATGGGTTGGTAAGAACATTTACCATTCAAAATTGTTTTTTTCATACATTTTCGGAGAAAAGACTATATTAGAACCTTTTAACTTATGGTTTGAGAACTTTAATGGTAATGGTTATGGTAGTCAGTAACGTCCATTAATGGTTTTGTATTATCGATCATCTTTACGTGTAATATATCACGAATTTGTAATCAGTAATTTACATACAACCAATATGCGATATAGTCCACATAAATTTTGGAATGGTATTGGTTCTTAACAACCCATTATTTGCAAGGTTCACTTCCAAAAAACCATAATACATAAGCTTAAAACTTTATCAAACAAACATTACTGTAAAGTTCCATAACCATTTCAGTTAAAGTTTAGCAGGGATCCCTAATATAAAAAATTACCTTAAACGAACGATAACCCAAATTATTGAACTATTCCGCAAATGGTTTGGATGATACCCCGAACACGTCGTTAAGAAAATTAATTTTTATCAGGGATTATAAACAATTTTTAAACATTTTTGGTAAGGTCAAGTAATGGTTCGTATTCATGCGGGTTATGCCCTGCAAAACTAAAATGCAAAACTTCTTACCTGAATTTCAACAAATAATTCTTAGTGTGTAGTAGATGCAGTAAACAAAAACACCTACCTCGAATCTTCCGGGATGAATGCCTACTTCTTCTAAGACGCTGTTTAGTAATTGCTTGGTCTGGGCCTCAGTCCAACGGATGGTCGGATTCAACCGACGTCGTGTGTGCTTGTGCTTCATTTCAGTAAACTTTAAAATGAGATTTTTAAACTAGTGGAACATTAAACAATAAATAACTTTCAGCAAATATTTTCACTTACCTCAGCCATAGTGCTGTGGAGTCTTTACTTTTGTTTATTTTTCAATCGTGTTGAAAATAGGATTGGGCGATCTTTGAAAGATCGATTTTTTTTCTCGCTTTTAAATTTTTTGTATCGATTCTTTGCGAGGGGTTTCTACACGAAACGAAAATCAATTAATCATTTTGTCAAACTTCTGCATTCATGTTCCATCAGATGTCACTGCTGTTGTTTGCGGTGACATCTACAGAAAACTACGCACAATATGTTTTCCGTTAATTGTTCACAGAGGACAATGCAGTGCAAAACATGTCTGGTACCTCTGTATATGCATTTAGATTAACATTCGAAGTCCCTCCTTTTTTACACATTCTGCACACAAAATAGCTCACCCCTCACAGAATTTCCCGCCGAATTTTATGTATGGGGCGGGGCATAAAGTATCTTTTGCGCAGAATATGTAAAAAAGGAGGGATTTCAAGTGTTAAACTAAATGCATAAATAGAGGTACCAGACATGTTTTCTAGTGTCAGGTACTCTCTTTTGTAATCTGTGAAAGGGAAATCACAAAACGAGAGTAATAGCTTGTTTAACAATAATTTCCGGGAAAAAACTAAACGACAAAGCCCCTGACTAATTTCTTTAGGTTGTCGTTCACTTTTTTTGACCTGAACATGCACCAAAAGCGAATTATTCCCACTTCTCTCAATTGCTATATGGGGATTTTTATCACTTCCTACCAGTGGAACAGCGCCATCTCTGTGGAAATGGTCGAACAAAATGATTAATTCGACAGTGAGCATGCATGAGGGCCTATACGCGATGATCGATTCTCTTCGTCGATTTTCTCTTTTGTTAATAACTCGCTAGATTTAACGTTTCTCGGTGCGTTTGCTGTTGCTTTTGATAGCCAATACAACCTGTTACTACTCTGCATTGAACAAATTCTAGAAAATTGTTTCGCTTAGCTGTAGCAATGCAAAGAGAAAATCGATGAAGAGAATCGATCATCGCGTATTCGCCCTTATGCATGCTCACTGTCGAATTATTTTATTCATGTGATTCACTTACACATTTTTGCCAAAACATCAACCTTATACCAACAATCAGTACGAAACTAATGTCGTTTTCGTTTTTGCGGTGTAGCACTGGTGTAGTGTAAGCAGGAATAAGCGCGAATCTTTGACAGCTCAACATCATTTATTTGTAAACAAAGGTGCATCCTATATCTACACCCTAAAATATTTCGGTGTACGGCAGTGTAGCACCGGTGTAGCTACACCGCAAAAACGAAAACGACAAAACGATTTTAAATTGGCTCACTACTTGACTACCCGAAAAAAAAATTACAGTGATATTTTCAGTGGAAACAATGCTCTAACATTAATATTTATTGTCGACAATAAAAATGATTGTTATAATGTTGTACCCTTCCGAAAACGGCAAAACTGCTACATAGCTGTACAATTGATGTACATAATAAAATGTTGTTACAATGATTTTCATTGTATTTTTCATTTATTTTATTGTTAACATGATTCGATCACGAACAATAATGAACAACTCTATCACAATAAAAATTGTTGTTACATTAAATATTGGTGTGTTTTCATTGTGGGTTACTTCACGAACAATAAAAATAAATCTGATTGAAGCATGCAGACTATGAGAGGGTCAGCAACACTGCCAATGTAATCAAGATAGGCGCTGCTCGTATGGCTCTTGCTTTGACAGTTCGTTTGGCTCTATTCGTTACCAAGTCAATTGAACGCCTACGACCAGATCGGTTTGAGTTGAACTCAACTCTCCTGCCTCATCTAAATCTCGCTTAATGCAGACCTTTTCCGTGCAGTCAATGATCATACAATAATAATAAAAAAATCCACCACTTGAAGATGTCAGGAAATAACACTCAGGTGGAAGCATATTTCATGGGCGATTCTCTCCAGTTGAATGCATTAACTTATCAACGACGCTCAACCACCAAGGAGACGCGACCTAGAGAGATCGAGTGCAGGGGAGTTGGCCTCCATTTCTGACAAGTTCCGGATCGAATCTCAATCCATAACCAGTAAAAAAAGGACTCACCCGTAACAGACATACCTCCCCCTTCCCTTCCCGGGGCGATGTTTTATTTTTTCGATTTATTTTTAAAGTCGATAAAGTAGATCTGTCAAGCCAACACATACACTCTAAAGTACACTGTTTTTTTTTTTAATCAATAAATTCGCCAACCAACAGTAAAATAACAATAATATATAATGTTATTGAAAAAAAATTATATGGGGAAATCACGAAAATTTCAGTGTTAAGGTACTACCCCCCTTTTTATTGTAAATTTTCCATTTACCATGAAATTTACTGTTTTGTACAACATAAAGCAAGGTAAATTTATTGTAGACGTAACAATATAAATCATTGTTAAGACAATAATTTTCGTCTTATTGTTACATTGTTTTTTATTGTATTTTTGTTGTTATTTTTTTTCGGGTAGCCTATTGATCCCAAGCAAACGATTAACGTATCCCATTCTAGCCAAAATTCTAGTACTACGCAATGTTTGTTTTGATTCGCTATGAAAGTTTGACAGATAAAATGAGGGGTTATTGGTTTTTCCTATGTTTCGAGGGGTGAATCGATTAGCATGGGACCGAAGAGAGTACCAGAGCTGAGCCAAAAAGTTGAGCACATTATTTCTGGACCTACTAGTCTAATACCCCGTTCACATTACAGCGTATATCACGTGATATACGCTGTCTTGCAATGAGCACTCATACATAGGATTTTCAGTGAAAACTAGATGTATGAGTGCTCATTACAAGACAGCGTATATCACGTGATATACGCTGTAATGTGAACGGGGTATAAGCAACAATCAATACGAAACTAACGATTTTAAATTGGCTCACCACTTTAGTAGCCTATTGGTCCCAAGCAAACGATTAACGTACCCTATTCTAGTTGAAATTCTATTACTACACTATGTTTGTTTTGATTCGCTATGAAAGTTTGACAGATAACATCAGGGGTGTGTGGATTCATGCAGAACATGCAGGGGTGAGTGAAATAGCTTGGGACTGCTTGGGACCGTTGTTCTGGTACTGAGTGAGCCAAAAATAATAATGATTTTCTTCGGGACCCAGTGGTCTTAGAGTTACCTCTATGGTATAAGAGTTACCTCTATGCTTATACCACCGACAAACCGACATGAAACTTAAACTTAACTCTTGATCGATAATCCATAACATCGGATTCAATTGTGCAGCGATCCGAGGGGAACGACTCTTCCAGATAATCTCAAGATATCTAAAATTTGAACCTTAATAAATAGAATTCACATCCTTAAACTTTATTGAGAATTATCTCTTTCAATTAGAAGAACTGAATGAAATCTGAAATATCCGATTATTGAGTTCTCCAAGCAGGATCCCACGAACACTAAACTAATAACATAATTTTACACACACTAGCGTATACTGTCATGTGCACGGTAATAATCAAACTTCCATTTATGAGTAAAAGTGAACCTATTGTCAATAAAAGCGGCACCACTAATTAATGAGTAATTCATTATGCCAATTAAGTAGTAACTGTTGGCTAATGTTAGCAGAAATTCATTGTTGTTAAAATAATTTACTCATTAATGAGTAAAACCACCTTTTTCAAAAATGGGTTAACCTTTACTCCCAAAAGGGTACTTGTCTGTTACCGTGCAAGCGTAGGGTTTGTTTTCGTTTTGTTGTTTATTTTTACTTTAGAATGACAGTTCTTACAGCAAACAAAAAATTTCTCACAGCTAACAAAAAATTTCATCTCACTAACACACGCAAATTGCACCAATACGAACCCGGCTGGAGAGGACTATATCGATAAAATCATTGACATCTCTTTGATATCGAATAATATCGGTTCACATCACTAAAAACTCAACTGTCAGATTTGTTCGATTTTTTTTGTCGACCAATTCAGCAGTTTTCGGAGAGCAAAACAACAGCCCCTCATTTTATCTGTCAAACTTTCATAGCGAATCAAAACACACATAGTGTAGTACTAGAATGTTGACTAGAATGGGGTACGTTAATCGTTTGCTTGAGACCAATAGGCTAGTCAATTAGTTAGCCAATTTAAAATCGTTAGTTTCCAACCGGTGGTATAAGCACCGACAAACCGACATGAATGACTATACAAAGTATCATAAAATTTCTGATCAAAGCACAAAACTGATATCTGCCACCGTGTTCGCGAAAAATGTGTATCCTAGCCACGACCGCGCATACAAAATGTATGAGTTGGTTTGTGTCTAATCTATTACGGGCAAATTATTTTTATCTAGATAACAAATTTCTATGGTTTTGACAGATGGGATCGCTGGGATCATCTAACGTTCAAAAACACAATCTTAAGTGAAATTACAATCGGCGAGTGGATTCTAATTGCAACTAGCAGTGGATTCCTGGTGTGCAAAGTTTATAATTTCACATATTTGAGTGGAAAAAGAACATCTTATTCACGAAACACTGCTCCCATTCATGTACCAGATGGTGTTGAAGCCTCGCATTCGAAATAGTTGTTTTTTTCCATACATTTTCGGGAAATATATTGGAACCATTTTTTATGATTTGATAACTTTAATAATAATGGTTATGGTAGTCGGTAAGATTCATAGATGGTTTTATAACATCTATCAACTTTATGTAGAATATATCGCGAATTGGTTGCCTGTAAATTACTGATTACCAATTCACGATGTATTCCACTTAAAGTTGACCGATAATACAACACCATTAATGAACCTTACTGACTCGATTACCATTACCATTAAAGTTATCAAACCATAAGTAAAAAGGTTCTAATATAGTCCTCTCTGCGAGAAAATGGAGAAAACAATTATTTTGAATGGTAATGGTTCTTAACAACCCATTATTTGTATGGTTCACTTCCAAAAAACCATAATACATAAGATTAAAACTTTATCAAAGAAACGTTCATGTAAAGTTTCATAACCATTTCAGTTAAAGTTTAGCAGAGATTATAAGCAATTTTTAACCGTTTTTGGTAAGGTCAAGTTATGGTTCGCGTTTATGCGTGTTGTATTCTAAAATGTGTGGGTCACTCATTTTTTTTTCACACTAGAAAATCATATAAGGTTTACGTGAAACGCACATAGAATTTGTGTATGTGGAAATCACGTAAGTTCCATTGAAAATCTCAGTGGCTTCGAATGAAATACCCTTTGATATATAAGTAACATCATGTAAATTCCGAGGTAAATTATATAAACAATGGGCAGAACAGAAAAATGTGAAACTCTACACTCAAAAATATTACAAAACGAATATAGATTAAATTTTATGCATTTTATGGTTTTTCAAAATTTATACATTGGTTCGATTAAAATTTTCGTCAAAATTATACTAAGCCCGAATAACGGAGTGAAATTCGATCAGTGTTTACTAAAATGACAGGAAAAATTACATTTGGATTCTCTTCGCAGCTTCGTGCTGGTGAAGAGCTTTGTTCCGGTGGATTTCAACTGAGCCTGTAATCTGCTGGGCAGCTAGACTGCGTGAGCATGAGTTCATCTTAATGAACATCGAAATTGTAAGTATTTTTTAAATAATATTCATAAAAAATAAAATAATTAAAAAACCTTCCTGAGACAATTTTTATTTTTATTTGAAAACAATAATATTTACCATTAATAAAATAATGAAGCGAAAAAGACATTATCTCGAATAAACCCTATCTATGCATTGTAAGTATATTTCGATTTTATACTATGGCACGCATAAACCATTTTTATACTAAGTTTGCATTCTCTCTTTATACCGACCTTTGCGTCGGTACGGAGAGTTGCGATTTAGCGTAACTTTTATACTATTTAGATTTCAATATTTCAGTGCCAACATTTCAAAGGGGCGTAATTGCATTTGTAAACAATGGCTTTAGCCATCGATTTCTCGCGAATAAAAGCTCACTCATAAAAATTTATGACACTAACAAGTAGATGAATGTTTCCTCTACTAGCTAGCATTGTTAACTTGGAGGAGTGAGCATTTATTTTCGAGAAATCGACGTCTGAAGCCATTGTTTACAAAAGCAATTGGGTTCTTTAATTTTGGGAAATATATCGGTTTTTATATATCATCTGAAAGAGCTTCGTTTTCTGAGCACAGCGATATTTTTTTCGAACCCACACACTTTCATCTCGATTTTTAAATCAAGATTTAAAGCAAAATAATAACTTCACTGTTTGACACTAAACTGACAAACTGACAGCTCGCTCCCATACAAAGTGACACCGAGGGGCGCTAATAAGGTGATTTTTGCAAATGTAATCGTACTTATTTAAAATAGTTCCAGTGTGCCAAAATTGATGAAATTTTGGGTTTGGGTTCCATTTTTAATGAAGATTACGAATATGCATTTACCTCAATACCCTTAAAGAACCCAATTACGCCCCTTTGAAATGTTGACACTGATTTTTTGAGTGTACGTGATTTTTCACGTATCAATAACGTGTCAATTATTTTGAGTGTACAACAGGAGGATGATTTGGTTCAGTGTAGCGAGAAATGTCATGTAAAAAAAAACAATCAACATCACACTCCGCAGCAGCAGAGCAGTAGCATTATTTTGTTTATAAACTCGCGTGCTAGTTTCACTTATTTCATTACTGTGGGATTATATATAAATGATTTACAAGTTTTCTAGTTACCGTGAATTGATTATTTGTCCCATAAAAATATTATCGTAGGTACTACCTACATAAACCGTTCATTTATATATAAGAAGAGTACTACAAGCACTGATTTTCTTCCAGCATCAACGGCAATCAACATAAAAATGTCCCGCGTAACCAGGATCAAACACGTCCTCAAAGAGCAGGAAACCAATGAGTTTGATATTCCAACAGAAAATCAAACGATTGTACGGGTGATCGCAAGCCGGGGCAATAATCTGCACGAGGTGGAAACACCGGTCGAAGGCGCGGAACATTTCCTCGTGTCAATGCCGGTTAAGTTCCGCAAAAATGTTTGGATCAAGCGGGGAGACTTTGTACTGGTCGAACCGATCGAAGAGGGCAATAAGGTGAAAGCAGAAATTTGTCGTATTCTCACGGCGGAACACATAAAGGAGTTTGAGAAAGAAGGCGTGTGGCCCAAACGGTTCACCAAGAAACGCGAACATGAAGACGATCTCGACGAGGATGGCCTGGTTCGGAACACCAACCGGCAGTTGGCCGAAGATGACGACAGCGATGATGAGAGTGAGGACGGAAGCGAAGACGAGGATTGATCATCGGAACGAGATGCTGTTCCAGGATTATGGATTTCTCTATGAATCGAACTGAATTTCCACAGCTAAATATAATAAATTTATTCTTGTACAGAGAGGCAGAAACAAGCTTCGTTTCTTTGCTTTTTTATTTACAGTAATGTAACATTCTCTTTATGTAGAATAAATAGTTCAAAAAGGTTGCAATTCTTCAATTTTTGGCTTCGTTTTTTTCTGCTTTCGTTTGTAATATTTGTTTAACATCAGAATGTATTTTTGAAGCGGAGCTATTCATAATCCTTGCATGTTAGTAGTACAATAATAGTTATGCATAGTTCGTGCTTTGCCAGCTGTTTTGCTTTGCGTTATTTGTTGCTTTATTTTGATTATTTTTACTACTTTCTAGCATTCAACTTTGCTATGCTATGACCAGAGAAGAAGAGAGCACTTATGCAAATTCCCTTGTTTCGAAACAAGTTTCGGGATGAAGTAGTTTTCTTAAAATGTTCACTATTGAGGAACACATGCTTCAACTAGCGCTAGATGCTTAAATTTAAAAAAAAATTACTTCCTGTAAATTATTTAAACTATGTGTACCACTTGTTGGTATTTAATCAACATAAAACATAATACTAATCTAGAATGGATCTCGCAAATCTGGCTTGACGTCATGACTGTAATGTTAGAATGAAAAAAAATATGGTTTCTTGCAGCAATGGTATCCAAATTTTAGAAAGTTTCTTAAGCTGATCCCACATGTTTATTGGAAGTCCCATAAGACATGACACAGCTATGGTTTGAACCAGCATTGTTTGCCTTAGATTGCACAAATTTTGGAATGTAATATAATAAAATGTCATGGGGGTGCTCATAAATACTTTAGTATCATGTGTTTCGACGTTTAATTGAAATAAATATGCAGATTAGAAAAACAAACTTTCAGGTGAAACCCTACGAATTTTTTTATTATATTAGAATCACCCAGCAAATATTGAAAGCTGAATAAGAGCTTATTCAGGCAGGCATTTGCTTCTTCAGCTAAAAACTTACTTATCCAACTTTAATCAGCTCAAATTGTTTGTCTGGCAGTTCTGCAACAATTGAATGTGAGAAGTTTTTCAGGATGTTTCTTAGCTTAATCTTGAAATCTGGTTTGTAGATATCCAAAATTTGCTCTCAGTCTTTTCTATGTTTACCAAGCCATCGGACCAAACACATTTAGACTGATTAAAAGCTGAATAAGCTATAGCTTTTCCAGACATTTATCTACAATATAGTTAAAATTGATCAAATCGCAACTAGATTCACTTAAGCCAGCGCAGAAATACGGATGATGAACAAATAAAATTGTATTTTTCTTAAATAGAGATCTTTTGCTAGGCATACACAGACGCATGTATTGTTTCGTTTTGAGATCCGCATTAACAGTGAGTCACAAACTGAACATCAGCATTACCCACATTTATACTTAAAATTAATCAACGAAAAACCCCATCATCAGTACACTTTGAACCGAATCGGTCGAGCTGTAAAAGCAATCACATATACAAAAGTGAAACTCACAAACATACACAGAGAAAATACCACTACATTCCACTAGACAACTACAATTTTTTCAAAGTTAGTTAACCGCCTTCACCATCGTACCTGTCTCTTCGAATTCCTTTTCGTCCAGTTCCTTCTGTTCGCCGTCATCGTTCTCTTCAGTATCGCCCGGGTCGGCTTCAATCTCGACGACTACATCCTCTACTATGTCGTCCTCTTTGGAACCAACCTCCTCTTCCTCGATGATCGGTTTACCGTCCTGAGAGGTTATCTTTGGTGACGTTTCCGAGGAACTGATCGGTAGGGTCGAAGGCCTGGCCAACTTGCTGCTGACACTTGCCGTTTTAAACGGAAATGCTGGTAACTGTTCCACCTGTGGCGTGTGGACAGCCACAATTTCCGTCTGCGTCTCGCAGCTATCCTTGAGACTGCTCGACGACGTGTCTACCGTGGATGCGGACACGTTTGCACCATGTGGTGGCATGTTTGCAAAAAATTGCATACAGGTAACGATGTCCTTAACGGAGGTTTGCAACTGCTGAACCTGGTGAAGAAAAGATCGTTATAAACCCTAAACTTGCGACAAAGATCATTTCATAAAACATGAACGAACCTGATTCATCAGCATCGAGCAGGTTTTCGTTAGATCCTGTACTACGAGCACCGAGCTGTTTTCGTTGTTTATCACATCCAGCTTCATCGTATCGGTCGTTCCGTTAGCAGCCTGCGTTGGTTGCATGGCGGATACCTTCTTCCACAGGGCGTTAATGGCTTGCATCTGGAGCTGCTGAATTTTGCGTTCATTCTCCAGAGCCGTTTTAGTCATCTCCATATCTTTGGTCAATTTTACAATGTAATCTTGTGTTCGCTTTTTCTGCAAAATGTCCGCAATATTCTGGCCTCTCTTCCGAGACAAGTAGCCACGCCAAATTTTCTGGATAAGTATGGCTGAATTTTCGGTGGTTTTATTATTAAGAACAGTCGTAGCGCAATCAACGCTATCATTCTCCTTGGCTTTTGTAAAGACCACCTGGCCACTTTGCTGGGCTGCCTTATTCCGTATCGTTTTTAGCTTATCAATGTTGATGGCCTCGCTATCCTCATCGGAACTAACGGCATTACTTGAACCGCCATCCGGTGGAGTAGCCTGAGCGCCGTGAATTGAACCCCTAGACTGGGCAGACAACGATCGGGAATGGTTGTGACTGACGTTGGTCAGGGTCTTACGGGGCGATAACGAAGGAGAGGAACGTTCGCTGCTAACACTGTTGCTGGTGCTGTTGTTGGTTGAAGTGCTGCGCTTAGTCGGGCGTGGACTCGAGCTCTTGGTTGTACTTGTAGGAATGCCAGCAGCACGGGTGTTATCTGCGAATAGGATGAACATAAGGTAAAGGTCAGGGATGAGCTAGATGTTTTACCATTTATCAAAACTGTGAATGTAAACATCTCTATAGTAAATATGCAGGAAGATCAACAGAAAACTGAAGCTAGTGTCACAGAGACACATATATGTACATATTGAGCTAAATAGAAGAGCTATAGCTACTATGATTATTTTAAAAAAAAACTGAAGTAATCCACCTATAGTCATTGGCGTAAATAAGGGGCAGCCAAAATAAGCCAGACCTAGAATTGGCCCACTCCAGATAATTTAAGAAATATAATTGCAATATTTTTCCAGACTATCTCAAATAAGCTCTGCTGCGACTTTGAATTTGAAATTACTTAATTGCGGTTTCTGATTGGCCTTCATATTTTATTCACTTTTTTGCTACACGCAAACCTCTCATATAAAGGTTGAATCTCTTCATTCGTTGTGAAGATATGTCTTAATTTTGAAAACATTTTAAATTCGGTGAAGAAGTGTTTCTGATCTTCAGAATAATACTGAATAAACCTTTTAATTATTCAAGACTTGGAAAAACATCCATGAAAATCCATGCAAGGTTCCTGTACTTCTACAAAGTTTCTTTAATTCAATTCCATGAACTCAAATAAAGCTCACTGAATTTCTTCCCAATCCATTTAACTATAACTGTGGCTCTATGAAGTTCCCTGAATTTGTGGAAAGTTCTGCGGATTGCTGGAAAGTTGCTCTGTCTGAACTTATACGTTTTGTAAATACTTACACAAACCACAACTAAATTTTTACCAAGATTGCTGAACCTGTAAATATTTCCGAGAATATTTTCCATGTCTCATTCACTGTTCCCGAAAATTTGACCAAGTTTTAAGAACATCATGTTGAATATCTACAATATTTCTATCTACAAAACTCCCTGAATTCTCGAAAATCTAGCCGAGCTTCTAGAAAAGTTTAGATACATAATTTAGCTTTAAATTCGCGGTCCTTCTATGAAGCTTTACGAACTTTTAAGACTTTCAATTATTGTCTGATCCCTGAAGTTCTCTTTAAACTTTAAATTTTAAACTCTATGCAATTTCCTAAACTATTCTATTGACGTAGGATTACGTCTTTCAAAAAACCAAAATTGACCGCATTACGAAAAGTGGTCAGGTTTTGACCACATATAACACTGTCAATAGCGGATGGATTTTAATTCTAAACAAGCCAATCGATTAGAAATTTTGCTACAAATCTGCTAAATTAAACACTTTATAAATTTTCAATAAGTCACTATTGACAATTGCACAAATGTCCAACTTTTGCAATGGGGATAAAACAGCGCTTTCCCTAAAACAGATTTCAAAATCGAATTCGATCCTGTCTCCCTGAACGGTTCTTATTCAATCACTGTGTGTGGTGGTGTCCGGTCGGTCCTCAGCAGCAGCAGCAGTGCTTTCGGCGGTGGAAATTAACGATTTTAAATTGGCTCACTTCTTGACTAGCCTATTGGTCCCAAGTAAATCGATTAACGTACCTCATTCTAGGCGAAATTCTAATACTACACTATGTTTGTTTTGATTCGCTATGAAAGTTTGACAGATAAAATGAGGGGCTCGTGGATTTTCTTATGTTTTGAGGGGTGCATCGATTAGCTTGGGACCGAAGAGAGTACCAGCACAAACGAAGTGACAGACGGAGCGGCTCGAAAACTTTGGTGACTAACCTGCTATTGCAATTTTTCAGTGTACCACATGGCAACACCACTACTACTGGATTGTACCACATGGCAACACTACTGCTGGATTGTACTAGAATTTTCACCAAATGTATTAGAATGTTTTGGTTCTATCTCTTTCACTCTACTCAAAACTGAAATGCATAAAAAAAATGACAAAATGATACACTCTTTGCACACTGTCAAAGAATCATTGTACACAAAATCAACTTTGTTCAAATCAAAACAAAAAAACTAACCCATCTGGTGGATGATGGCACAAGCTTTTAAGAAAATTCTATTACAGCCAACCACATTATTTTAATTGATTTCTTCGCCAGTTAGTCGTCTGTCACTTCGTTTGTGGTACCAGAGCTGAGCCAAAAAGTTGGGCACGTTTCTTCGGGACCTTCCGGTCGTAAAGTTACCTCTATGGTTGTACCATAGAGGTAACTCTAAGACCAGAAGGTCCCGAAGAAACATGTTCAACTTTTTGGCTCAGCTCTGGTACTATCTTCGGTCCCAAGCTCGAAACATAGGAAAATCCACGAACCCCTCATTTTGTCTGTCAATCATTCATAGCGAATCAAAACAAACATAGTGTAGTGCTAGAATTTCGACTAGAATGGGGCACGTTAATCGATTTACTTGGGACCAATAGGCTGGTCAAGTAGTGAGCCAATTTTAAATCGTTGGTTGCCATCGGTTGGTTGTACTCTTTTAATCCAGTACAGCAATCGACGTACAACCATAGAGGTAACTCTAAGACCAGAAGGTCCCGAAGAAACGAGCTTAACTTTTTGGCTCAGCTCTGATACTTCGGTCCCAAGTTAATTAATGCACCCCTCGAAACATAGGAAAATCCACTAACCCCTCATTTTATCTGTCAAACTTTCATAGCGAATCAAAACAAACATAGTGTAGTGTAGTACTGGAATTTATACTAGAATGGGGTACGTTAGTCGATTTGCTTTGAGGAATTTTGATCTTGAAAATCTGAAAATGTGAAAGCACTTGAAAAAATTAACTTTTCTCATTTTGCAACGTATTGAAATGAACAATTCAGCGTCTCAACAATTAAAACTTTATTTTTTAAATTGCTCAAACGTCATCTAGCACATGGAATAGAGAAACACGAAATGGACCGTTGCGAAACGGAACGCAGAATCAAAAGAAAACAGCAAATACGGCTACCAGAAACTCGCTTTTCTGATGGTCGTAGGGTTACTAGAAGTTCAAATTAAAAATAAACCTCGTTAATATGCACGCAGTGTCGTTCAGATTAACAGAGGTTCACGATATAAATAATATTCTTGTTTATGTTAAAGACATTAACAGTCTTGCTTGTGTTCCATTTCTTCTGCTACTTTGAAAATTTTAATGCTTTAAAATATATTTTTTTTTTTTTTTGTAATGATCCAGTGGCAGCACTTGCTTAAACTCTACACTGGACCCCTTTTATTGATCAATTTTGCTTCTATGAGCCTCTATTTTAAATCAACACACAGACGTTCCTAGGCTATGGTGCCCGTTTGGTCACTGTTGTGTTTGTGCTGATCCAAATAGTTTTGATAATATAATTGCGCATTCCTTTCTTTTTTTTAAGGTTGAATTTTGTCCCAGTCTTGTCTTCTGTCGTCACTTATTTTGTCATTTTGTCTTGTGTATTAACCCCCACTTGTCTTGTTTATTGTGTCAACTTGTGTCTATTGTCCTTCCCCATCTGTTACTCTGTCATGACTAATTTCATTGATATATAAAAATAGTAATATCAATTACAGGATAATATGGTTATTTCTCGATTACTTTTTCAAAGGGAAGCACCAGCTCCTGCAAACAATGCATCCGATCGTCGATCTGGCGCAACCGGCAGCTCGCACACGCTTATCAACACCACCAGCAGGTAGAGGAAAATTTCCCCTATCTGATGATAGTGCCAGCCCGCGTGGGCGAGCCACCAGTTAAGCCAAATCGACGACCAAACGCACCACCTACAAAAGCCGATACGCTCCCTTGAAAAAGTTATCGAGATTTCTACTAATTAATGAATTATTGACAATTACCTCTCATGATCCTTGGCTCTGATTTTAACTTACCTTTTTTTGATTATTTATCAAATACCTCTCCCAGAATATATAACTCCCCGATGCCTTGTTGGTTTCTGGTCTCATTTGGATTGGTCCTGAATTTGTTTGACATCCTGTTCGAAGTAATTCTTTGAGTTCCAGCTTGTACGTGTCTCACGTCATATGATTCGCCATTCATAAAGATAATGGGTTAAAAGGGAGTAAAACATACATAAAGGTAGATTATTATTAGTTGTACTTGATCCAAACAATAGAAAGAAGCATAGATGACTTAGTAGAAAAATAAAACTAATATACTAAAAGTGCAATGGATAATTGTTAGTTCCGGGATCATTTTAGTGTTAGTAGTTATGTTAGTTTTCATCCGTATTCAGCCCTGCCGGCCCCTCCAGCACTATTTGCAGCAATTGTGATAAGATTATGCGACACTGCTACTACTACTATGTTAGATGTATGACTTGTCAATTTTCGCAACCCAATGTCTTTCAATAAATCACTCAATCAATTTGATGTTTGAAAATTTGCTCAAAAGGGCTTTGTTGACACATCATACCTTACCGAAAACTAAAGCACAACAATCCTAATTCTTATTTTAAACCTATCAACATATTTAACACATCTTTCCTAAAACTTCACTTGTTCGTAAGCGCTTGGTTGAAGATATGACTTTCGCTATTGACATTGTCTGTAATTAACAAATACACGAAATAGGAAGATTTATTATACAACTTCATAGGCTAGTCGCCTCCCTAAGCGGACCCCCCGCGTCCTATCTTCTTCTTCTTCTTCGCATTTCAAGCTTATTGCATATCGCATATTAGCTTATTGCGTGCTCTCAACTTAGTGTTCTAAATGCACTTCCACAGTTATTAATGGAGAGCTTTCGATGCCTGTACCATTTTTGCATTGGTATAATTGTGTGGCAAGTCCAATCATACTTCTATGCCCAGGGAAGTCGAGAAATTTTCCAACCCGAAAAATTCCTAGACCGGACCGGGAATTGAACCCAGCCACCTCCAGCATGGTCTTGCTTTGTAGCTGCGCCTTTACCGACTGAGCTAAGGGAGGCCCCGCGTCCTATCTCTTATGTTAATTAACTTTCTGAATTCTATAATTGAAGTTTATTTAATAAATAACTGAAATCTCTAATCTACCTACACAATCATAACCCATGCTTTTAAACTACAATTTAACGTGTTTCAAGTACTTCTGGCTTTTAGATATATTAATTATATCTTTGTTCGTCCCAGATGACACCTTCAAGTGACTCAAATGCTTCACTTTGAAGTTAGTTTCCAAGCTAATTTTAAATTGTATATTGTATAGGGTAAATGATCCAACTACGCTCTCACGCTTCCACTATGTCGCACCACAAAAATACATATGGGTATGTCACAATAGAAGCACACCACAGTGGAAATCCCGAGCCATAGTTCAAACACTTATCCCAAATCAAAATGAAGCACATATAAGATTAGTTACAATACCATGTACAAAAATGATGTTTAACATTGTTTCCTGAGTAATAATTCAATGAAAACAACAATGAAAGCTTGTCACGCAAATAGAAGGAGCACTGTTGGGCACTTTCTGAAATATTTCAATAGTATAATTCCCTTGCAAACCCAATCTGCGTAAAAATAAATAAAATAAGAGTGATTTGCGGCAAAACCCGCCAGTATCACACCCAACGTCAGTGCCTATACGTAAGCGTACTACGACGCGGCTCTCAATTAAAGGAGTAACAAGTGTGATACTATCACTGCTAGACTAGATCTTTGGTTCTCTCATGCAGTGGTTTATCAGAGAGGGGAAGCTCAGTAATCTCCATTGCCTGCCCATGATGCCATTCTATCGCGGCATGAGCCAGCAACGCCGACCATAAACCCACCGTCTCCAACACTCCACTAATGAAATTAAGCCCGCCCACCAACAGCAAGGTGCAAAAACTAGCCAAGGGGAGGGGATTTTAGTGTATCATTAATCAGGTTCTTTAATACTCGAAAGAAATCCGAACAATGTAGATTTATGAAATAAAAACCTCTATTTTCAAAGTGGACTTATTTAAAACAACAAAAATTACCTTCACCAAAAGTTGCTAAAATGTACTTCTTGATATGCTTTTTAAAGTGATATGAAACAGTATCGGTTGTACTTGGGTCATTTTGAAATGTTACGCTTAAAAGTTTGGGCTAAAAGACTACAAAACTGACGATAACTTTTGACAGAAGACTTGTACTGGTATAGTGTTTTTGGATAAATTATGTATTTTCATATTAACTACAATCGCTCTGGACATAGTAGGCCAAAACATTGATATTTAAAAACAAAATGACAGAAAAACTGATTTTTGACTTTTGTTTTCTTAAATGGCTTATATCTACAAATAACGGAAAACGGTGTTCTAAGAAGTTTTCTAGTTTTTTATAGTTCACAACTTTGTAGAACATTTAATTTCTCTTAGTTAGATACCAAATTACGTTTCTGATAGAGTTTAACGTTTAGGATACTTTTGCAACCAACGCGAATAGAGCTCACAAGAAAATGTTAAGAAGACATCAATACGCTATCTCTAATATTTTTTCGAGTTATTAATTTATTCCACCTAATGTTGATCCCTTGCATTGTAACCACCCACCTACTTTTGATAGACGAAATAAATAAAATCAAACTAGACTTGCCTTTGGTTTTAATTGCCTTCGGAATCTGCGGTGTCTGCGGCTGTGGCTGATTGGCGCAATTTTGCATATTGCGGTGCACAATCGTAGCCGGTGAAGTGGTAGGTCCACAGTCGGGACTCATTAGCGATTCCGGCACGGGAACCATTTTTGATGCGGCCGCCAGAGGGCCACCCATAATCACTTGCCCTGCTGGTGGTTGGTCTACCGGAATGAAAGAAAAGTTAGGTATGATGTTTGTTGTCGGAGTGAGGCATGATATCAACTACCGTTATATAGATTAGCTCCACTGGCACCAACTTGTTTCGACAGAACAATACTTTCATGCATTGAAGAATTCATAACGTTGCTTGTGTTGCTAGCTAGGCTGTTGGTATTTAACATGTTCGGATCTAAGCTTTGCGACATAATACTATCGGAAGTAATGTTATCGATGAGTGATTTCGTGAGTTCAAACAGTTGGTTGCTACCAGAGGTTTCAATCTGGCTGGAAGTCATCAAATTGGTAGACGTGTTTCCGTGATAACTGCTGGACATGGTATCCGGTGAGTTTTGACGGCCACTCAAACGGGTAACTGAAATAGAATTTCTTAAACAACATTCCTTGAATGCTAGCGGACTCCCTTCCCTTACCTCTTGGTGACTGTATTCGACTTTGCCCCTTCCGTCTTAGCGAGGATGGTGAGTTGTTTACAGGCGTGGCAGTACCATCTCCTCCACCGGAAGTTTGCTCTTGCAGCTGTCGTTGATGCTGTTGAGCTTTGCTCAAAATCAACCTTAACTTACGTTCATTTTCATTTTCCAGAGCTTCGCCGGACAAAGGGCATACCGTGCTCAGATAACGTGCCAGGGCGATTTGTTCGCCTACGCGAAATTGACGACCGCGTCCTTGGCTGTACAGCCATTCAGCCTTCAGGCTTTCGATTGCCGTGACAACAAAACCGTCGATCATCTTAACACTCATGCACCAATTCAGTACAAATGGTCGGTAATCGAACCCCCTGAAATGATGGAAGGTATGATTGCTTATCCACTACATTTGTTCATTTAAAAAACTTACATTGAATTCCCAGTCATTTGAACACAAGGATTATCCACCACCGTAATGCTATTGAGATTATTCAAGTGGCACAACGTGCAAATTTCGTTCAAATCAGAAATGTTATTCTTTGATAATGTTAGCGTTTCCAAAGATTGGGGTAAATACTTATCACATTGCCTTAAGTGGGCAACTCGGTTTCCATTCATGTACAGTTCCTGGAAAGTAGCAGCGGTAATCTTTATGTACATCAAAACTACTCACATCACATTTAATACCTTCAAGTTTTTCAGGAAGGAAACATCCGAAACAACAGCAATGCTGTTCTCGGAAAGATTAAGGTACTCCAGATTCGTGTTCGTGTTTAAATGCTCGATAGTTTTAATATTGTTCCCTTCCAGATTGAGGTGAGTCAAATGAACCAAATCTTTTAGTCCCTCGATCGTTAAAATTCCATTATAGGAAAGGTTCAACTCTCGCAGGCAGTGCAGCCGGCAGACGCCGTACATCCGGAGTAGCTGATTTTTACAAAGCGATAACTGTGGAAAACAAAAAACACATAGATTAGTCATTAACCTGAAATGTACGGAAAAAATCAATGCCCTGGAAAATTAATTAATTTAGTACCTTTTCAATCTTAAGATACGAATCGATATTATCAATCTTCTGCAGTTCATTGTCATCCAGGATCAGCACTTTATACTGCTGTGCGTCGTCCGTTTTTGGTATCTTCTTCAGACATTTCTTCGATAAGTCGAGAACAAGTTTCTGGGAATCGGCTTCGATTTCTGCAAAGCATATACAATAAAAACAGGAGTCATGATTATAATATGAATTTTTAATACTTAAGTCATGAGCGTAAAGTGATAAAAGCCGCTGCGTTTCAAATGAAAATATTGCCTTTTCTCGCATCCAATTGATTTTTTTTTTTGAACTATTCTTCAACGGAAACCGTTATGGCAAAACGGATACAAGCAATTTTAGCAAATAGTATGTAAAATACTAAATATTTACCCATTTCTGCTGATTATGAACTTGCACAACACCTTTTTCCACCTGAACTGTCAAAAGATATCCTTGTTTTTTCACTTTCACTTTCTTCTGCTCTTTGATCCTTTTGTGTTTGCTTGTAGTTTTTATTCCTTCTGGTGCAGTACCAACACACGCGCGAAAGCCAAGTGGGAGCTGGGGGTGAGTTTCGATTTGTTGACCCTACTATACCGATGCGATGTTTTCTGGGATAAAGGGTACACACCAAATATCTCATTTTTTTTTCGGTACTTTTCTGCTGGATATTTTCTGTAAAATATCATTTTCACCGAAAGTTTTGTAAAACATATGATTTTACCAATTCTCCGCAATCAAAACTGCTAAATTTCCGAACACGGATAGAAACCTCCTTATACCTTTTGGCAAATTTGCATTGCTGATTATTCATAAAATGTATAAGTAAGCAGACGCCTTGCAAAAAGTTAATAAAGATCATGTGTCAAATGAAATGTATAAGCGGTCACACATACCTTTTATGCATTCTAATAGGACCTATGTGGTTTGTTTTATGGAATGTATAAGGCTGATGCTTTGGCAAAAATGTATAAGTGAAACACATGAATTAAATAATTGATTTTCGTTTCGTGTAAATTACATAAATTTACCGAAACTGTAAATAAAAATTACTGATCAAAACTGCAACGGGCTGTAAGTCAGCGATACTGTAAAAAGTGTGGCGAATGTACAGTAAAAATAATCTTTTACAAAAACAAACCGTAGTAAAGTAACAGATTTTTGTAAACATTACCGAACAGGATTGTAAATTTTATATTGTCAAATCTCAGTATTTTCCGCCATTTCAAAGTTGAATTTTCTTCGGTTCTCCGGTGTGAAAAGTAAGTAATTTACTATGTTTGGCTATTTACAATCCGTTAAACCTATGCCGTAAGGTTAATTTTTCAGTGAACTTCTAGACCAATTGCTTTCAGTCACCATGGACGTAAGGTGGCCCAGTTTCCTTATCAAAGGCAAAAAAAACAATTTGTGTATGGTTTGTTACGGAGTCAGAAACATCGTCCTTCTCTGTTGAATATTATTTTTGTACACTCAAAAAATAAATCACATTTCCGATGGAAAATATCCATTAGAATTTGTTTATGTGATTTATCACATAGAATTCATGTGATCATACTCAGAGTCGATATTATAATAAGAGTCCCGCCAAGAGTGAAGCCAGAAGTACCAATCGAACTGTCAAGCGGGATACCAAACGAGCAAAGTAAATAAACACCATCAGTAAACTACAAGTATTGCATTCATTATATTGACAATATTTTAGTAATTTTAGATGAAAAACATGTCTTCGCTTTATTTAGTACATTGTGGTTTTTATACCAAGCACTTGTTTGAACCTTTTTCAGGTTCTATAATTGTTTTTATCTCCCAGAAGCTCCCGCATAAACGCGAACCATAAATTGACCTTACCTAAAATGGTTAAAAATTGTTTATAATCCCTGCTAAACTTTAACTGAAATGGTTATGGTACTTTACATGAACGTTTAATGATAAAGTTTCAACCTTATGTATTATGGTTTTTTGGAACTGGACCTTACAAATAATGAGTTGTTAAGAACCATTACCATTCCAAATTCTTGTTTTCTCCATACATTTTCAGAAAGAGAACTATATAAGAACGTTTTTACTTATGATTTGAGAACATTAATGGTAATGGTTATGGTAGTCAGTAAGGTCCATTAATGGTTTTGTATTATCGCTCAACTTTACGTGGAATATATCGTGAATTGGTAATCAGTAAATTACAGGCAACCAATTCGCGATATATTCCACATAAAGTTGATCGATTTGAGGCGAGATGGACCGAACCCGGTCTTAGCCAAGTCTTTGACACAAGCAAAGGAAAAAAGAAAAAAAAAGTTGATCGATGTTACAAAACCATTCGTGGACCTTACTGACTACCATAACCATTACCATTAATGTTCTCAAACCATAAGTTAAAAGGTTCTAATATAGTTCTCTTTCCGAAAATGTATGGAGAAAACAAGAATTTGGAACGGTAATGGTTCTTAACAACCCATTATTTGTAAGGTCCAGTTCCAAAAAACCATAATACATAAGGTTGAAACTTTATCATTAAACGTTCATGTAAAGTTCCATAACCATTTCAGTTAAAGTTTAGCAGGGATTATAAACAATTTTTAACCATTTTAGGTAAGGTCAATTTATGGTTCGCGTTTATGCGGGCTCCGTTATCGACATGAAATTTTTCACTTCGGAATGAAAGTCATCCGATTGGCGTCTTGCAGTGAAACTTTTCCAAGCTTTCGCCACCTACATTTCGAAGTGAGAACTACTAGAAGGAGGATAGTTTCCAAATTCTCCAAGTAAAACAGACGATTTTGGGGGCAAATCGGTACATAAATAAAAAACTAATAATTTCCGGTGGAAACTTTTGCTTGAATCGTGTAAGAAAACGTGTTTGCAAACTAACTGTTATTATTTCGGTATGGATCGGAGATGTTTTCATGGAAAATTAGGCACAACAAGTTTACACCCACAGGTAGAGGTTACCTCCTGCGCAGCTGCATTTTTCGGAAAATGGTGAATTTGTGCGATTTCCACTAGGATGAAAGTGGAAATTAAGTGAATTTACTTAGGAAAGATTGTATCATGCTGGTGATAATGTAGAAATGGTTGTATAGGACGCCAATTTTCAATAAATGTTCATTTTGGCCTTTTTTAGGTAAACATATTGATACTCACAATTTTCGACGGAAAACGCAATGGAACTTGATTTACTCAACACGCATCATACTATAAAATGGTGCTCGATGGTTTATAAAGTGTTAACAAGATGACAAATCATCTTTATTTTGAGTAATTTAGCAATTTACTTCTGTTTACATCATACGTACGATGCAGCATTGATGGAGCCGTGAAATGAAATGAATATATCTTATGAAAGTTCATCTGGAAAAGTCAAAGATGCACATCAGTCTGATCGTAAAAACATTTTCTTCTTCAATTCGAATGTTATATTGGAAGGATTTCACGCAGGCTTGATGAAAATTATGATTTAATGCAAATTTTCACGAATTTTATATGCAGTCTGTCAACATTATCATCATCATGCAGTGGCGACATCTGCGTCGAGCTTTTACGGCAATCTTCCAATGCTAACGCAAAAAATCTGGTTGCCGTTTACTCTGACGAAAAATAAATCCCAAACAGTGCTGCTTGTTCGCAACATTTTCTTTTGGCGGAACTCTTATAAGCTATTTTACGTGACGTCTTGATGACAGTTCCTGGCGGGCCACTCGAACGCGCTTGAAGCATTGTTATTGTTTACGTCTGATGTTTTTGTTTTGATTTTGGTCGTGGTATGTCAACAAATCGGCCCGCTGGTAAACGTCAAAATAGATAAACAGAAAAAAAAACAGCTGACTCGAAACGTCTCGTAAATGCCTTATTATAACATCGACTCTGCCGGTACTCTCTTCGATCGCAAGCTAATCGATGCACCCCTCGAAACATACACGGCGAATGAGAACGACTCAAATTTGAGTTTAGTTCACTCATAATCGCTAAAAGTGCTCAAAAAATCTCAAACTAGCGAATCAACCTTTAAAAATCTTCAATCATTTTTCGCATCTACTTGCATTGCACATCATCTTTTTGCAGGAAATCTTCAGAATCGTCATCAATCTTCTTTCTATCTACTCAGTGTGCGTGCAGCTAACCACAGCAAAACACATTTTTTCCTGCATCGTAGATAGAGTCGCCCCCCTCGGATTTTCCAGGGAAAAATTCCTGAATTTGAGAAAAGTAAAGATTGGATTCACTCAGTCTATTGGTACTACTCCGAGACTGACTGTTCGTCAATTTCCTCATTTTCCGGCAGCTTTTTTAGGTTTTCCACAGGAAACCATGAGACAAATTTTACTCATCGCTGAGTTCCTGCACTTTTGGCGATTATGAGTGAACTAAACTCAAATTTGAGTCGTTCTCATTCGCCGTGTAGGAAAATCACGAACCCCTCATTTTATCTGTTAAACTTTCATACACCTTGTGTTTCAACCGTTTCAACGTCAATTGCATTGTTTTTTTTTCGGTGTGTACACAGAAATTCAAAACAACCCAAAATTAAGTTCTTTTCACTCATCTCCCATGTTCCGTACGATAAGCCAAATTTGGGTAAACCGGCTCAAAGTAGTTTGCATTTAAAGACGGCAAAAAAAATACCCATCGCTAAGTTATTTTCAATTTTTTCTACCCAAAATTAAGTTCAATTAACTCAAATTTGGGTATATCGCATATTACTCAATTTTGGCTTCTCGTACGGAACTAGACGGTTGAGTCGAATCTTTCGTTCTATTTTTGACAACAATAGCGAGAGGAAATGAAACGGGCAGAGGTCAAATAACTCAAATTTGAGTTTAAAAAACCCAAGCGGTGGGTAGTTTTGTTTTTCTGTGTATACACAGAAATAAAAAATTACCCAAATTAGAGTTCTTTTGACTCAACCTCGAAGTTCCGTAAGAGAAGCTAATTTTGGGTAAACATGAAAAAACCTAATTTTGAGTAAATTATCGAAAAGACTGCATTGGGTAAATTTGATCAATAAGGAAAAACCTAATTTTGGGTAAATTTAACTTAACGATAGGTTATTTTACCGGGGACTTTTTCCGAATAAAAAAACCTAGCGTTGGGTCGGATTAACTCAACCATGAGTTATTTTACCGGGTTTTTTTTTTCTGATAAATAACCTATTTTTGAGTAAAATGAACCCAACGGTACGTTATTTTACCGGGCACTTTTTTCCCCGAAATAAATTATAAAGAAAGGGGACGCTTGCATGACGAGCACGTAATTATTCCTAATGTTAAAAATCAAAAACAATAACATCCGTGAAGACAATAACAAATTTATTATTATTTATTTTTTAACAAACGATGGTGTCGAAGGAACCGGCTCACGGGAGAATAACGAAACGGTTGGCTTCTACGGCACACCGGGGTCACTAGAAAAAACCAGATCAACACTCGTGGTGGAAGCTGCAAGTACTGGGATACCTAAAAAAAATAATTATTTATGTGCTGCTCCACTAGCGCTTTAGATTTGCGACTCACCAGGTTACGTTGAGCTCGGAATCGAACAACCGATGGTCTCGAATGAGGTCTCGAAGGAACCAGTTCACGGGAGAATAACCTCGGGAAAAACAGAACGGATGGCGGTAGAAAAACTTCCGGACGACACACGCGTTGAACTTCATTCGAAGGGAGCAAAATCACTAATGGCGTCGTCGTGGCATTTTTTTCATCCAACTCAAAGTTATTTTCACTCAACGCAAGCTTTATAGTAAGTTACTCAGCGTTGAGTAAATTTAGGCCCACCAAATTTCCTTTTTGTTTTTACTCATCTTTGGGTAATATACGTATTACTCAACCGTTGAGTAAAAATTAACCATCAAACACATTGATTTTTACCCAATGGGATACTATAACGGTTTTACTTAAATTTGAGTTGTTTAAACTCAAGCTTTGGGTAAGTTTCATTTTCTGTGTATGATCTATCAAATAAATCATTGACAAAAAATTGTGTCGGAAACAGCGCTGCCATTAATACAGATTTATCTGTATTATACAGATTTTTTAATCTTAATACAGACCCGATACAGAATACAGATTTATCACAGATTTTTAAATTACAATACAGATTTATACAGATTTTTATAAAATGCTTGAGAAAAAAAAATTCAAAATTTATAAAAACAAAATAACTTTTTTGATTGTATGGGGATTTACAGTATTAATTGAATATTTCCAATATAAGCATGTATATTAAATACAAGAAAAGTGCCCGAGCACATTAAAATGGTACAAATACAAGTCTAGATAGAGCTGGAATTAGGGCGTAACAGCTTTTGTAAACAATGACTTCTATCGATGATTTCTAGGAACTCAAGGCACGCCCACGCAGACCAACATAACCATCGGATAGGGGAAGTCTTTCCCTATCCGATGAGGATGTTGGTTTGCGTGGGTGAGCCATGAATTTCTAGAAATCATCGATAGAAGTCATTGTTTACAAAAGCTGTTAGGCCCTAATTCCAGCTCTATCTAGAAGTACTCGTAAACATTTTACTTGCATTGAAAATGTATTTCGTAAGAAATTGCGGATTTTCTGATATTCTCCATACTGCAAAAATGATTTTACCAGCACTGGCGGGGCGACATCTCTCGACTTTTCGGTGTAACTACCACACAAATGATGTAATTAATTGTATTCATCTATATTAAAAATATCAAATAGTAATGAACTCGTGCACTTTTTTGCATTTAAAACTGCTTATCAGGAAGATAATGAATAGAAACTTAAATCTCCATACATTTTCAAACGGCTTTATATCACTCTTATAAATAAGTACGGACGATATCACAAATGGCGCAATTATATCCCGTATGGTTAGTACAATAGCCCGAATAGATGGTTAAGCACTTTTTATGGTTATTTTGTATGCACTGTATTTGTTAAACAACAAAACATGATTAATTAAGAAAAAAATCGTCAATACAGAAAATACAGATTTTTTAATAGAGTGGATACAGATTTTTTATAAAACCACCTGGCAGCTCTGGTCGGAAAGTGGCGCTCAAAAATTTACTAAACAAAAAACAATCAGTGGTAGCGTGGAAAATTCAAGAGTTTTCTTGAGTTTCTTGTTAATTCTCGTGGTTTTTTGTTTGATTAGAATTGAATTTCCTTATTCAGTAGCTCACAGAACATAATCAATCAATAAAGCAATGAGTTTCGAACCGAGATCGATAGTAAATGGTGCCCTGCTTAAACGCCATTCAGGTCAATCGGTAAGCATCCATCTGTTTGTGGAACGAGCGGATAAAGATGGTCGTAGCTTCACGGGAAAATCTACCGACGAAATGCCAATCCAGGTAATGCTGAGTGATCCACTGAACAGCTTGCTTCACGGTTGGGTTGAGGTCATCGGAATGGCCGGTTCGAATGATAGCGTTCGATGCAAAGAGGTAAGGAAGCTCTACTCTTAAAATGCGACGATGGTTTCATGGCTTTATGATTATTGCAGATTATCACCTATCAAGCAATTGACGGTGAGCAGGATTTCGACACGAATGGACATAACATGCTGTGCAACTTCCTAGCCAACTGTCGGGACATGTACCGTATGGGATAGTTTCATTAAAAGTCGTAAGTTATTATTAAACCCCTTTATTATGCGTACAAATATATGTCAATAAGCTGTAATAATTAGAGCTGCTGCAAGTCTTGTAGATGTTTCCGAAAGCCAGCGGTCAAAGCAAGGTGTTTGGGGTTAATTTGCGAGTCGGTCATACAAGCAAACCTTATCTCATCGTTGAATTTTTGTATCGTAATCGAAACGCTAGTATTCGATTGAGGTGGTCTAAAATAGATGATGTCCTTGATCGCATGTCCGAGCAGATTGCGGTATTGTCCAATGTTACGATTTTCGATCACTTCCGTTACCGTAACGGCGAGCCGTCGCGATAGATAGTTCATCAGAAGTTTCATCACCACCAGCGGTAGGCCGTTCGTTAGGAAATCATGTCTGAGTTGTGCGATCGTTAGGAAATTGAGCATAACTTGCTGCCGACGTATTTGCGATATTGAGTTTCGAATGTTCTGCAAAAGCTGACCATTTTCGCTAACATCTATGGGAAGATTAAGTGAAACGAATCCACTGTTTCCCGTTTTGTAGTTGGTAAGGCCAAACAGATAATCTTCCAACATGCATCGTCCACTGATTTGAATCATCGATGGTACTTTGCCATCCCCTTCCATGCAGAGCGCTCCCAGTGACTTGGACATTATTCCTAGTAGAATTTCAATGTCGTTTGGCGGCTTGCTTCGTGGTATATTGCGAACGATTCCTACAAGAAGCAATAATGATTAAACTCATTAGTATTCCAGTTCTAAAAATGGATGCTTGTGGTGATCTAAAAAATTCTTGTACATCTAATGTTATTCTTCTCGTATTTCTAATGCATTTCTTATCTTAATGTTTCACCTGTTCTCCTCGTAGCAGCGGGAAACTCTACTGGACGGTTTGCTTGAAGATCGGAAGATCTGATTTTTTCCGACCATGACACGACTTTTCTTCCGCATAGCGATACATTCTGCAAGTAGTGGTCAGTGTTGGGTTTGTGCTCGAACAACTCCTCGAAAACCAACTTTGGCGCCGAGTACAAAAGTTTAATTCCCTTCCAATATTCCAGGAATGCACTGAAACAAATCGGCAGATATTCCAAAAAGAATCCGACAACCGTATTGCGTTTGCACTTCTTCATCAGTATGTAGATACGTATAGCTTCCACTTCTTGAAAGACATACCAAGGTACCATCAACGTTAGAGTTGCTCCAATCTTCCAGAACATAAAAATCAATTCTTTAATGACATTGATCGGATCCAGTGACATTGTTATGGCATTCCAAATGGTGCCCAGATTAAGATTTCTCCGTTGAATTTCGCGATCAATCAGCGACTTGAGGAAGTCAATTTTCATCACCGGATTGCCAGCAACCTTCGAGAAACCTCTCGAAAAATCAGATATTACAGCAACTGCTCCTATCAGTACCACCGAAACGAGTTGTTGTATGCCAGCAATGTGCTTTTTCTCAATGTCCGGCGATTCTAGCGGATCGTGCTGATAGATAAATTCGTTCCATCGGTTACTAATAGTGGCACAAATATCGTCCCAAATCCTTGGCAAGTAAACCGGGCGTTCCAACAAGTTGGCAAATATTGAGTCACATTCGGAAATTCTCTTCTCGTTTTCGTTTCTTCTGTCTATCAATAGCAGATCAGAAATTCTCAGTTTTTGCTGCTCTTCCAACAGTAAGTGATGTATTCTGTATAGCATGTAGTAGTACGGGGCACTGGTGTCGCATTCTGCCGACCCACTGGCGGCACCCCCGAATGCCATAGGAATGCAGAAGATTTGCCACGGTGGAATGTCGGATGGCATGTACTTGGAAATAATGTCGCTCACGTAGTCTTGAAGGTTTCCATCAGTTAACGGACGGCCTCGATGTAGCGATGGCGCCAGAATGACATGGTTGTCGATGTTGAAGTCTCTGACGAAGGTTGATAAAAAATGAGGATTAGAAGATAAACCGATATAAAATCTGTACTATTTATAAATTTATGTCCTAACTATTATTTATTGTTTGGAAAACTGGAAGTTTGGAAGTCTAGGAACCTATTTTTTTGAATCGCGTGAAAAAAATCATCAGTTACCAGAATTTGAATACAGTGCCTTTCCGTTTTTGACAACATGATCTCATCAACTATTCCTTTTGGTGGGCGTTGGCCAGATTTTGATTTTTCAGATATAATCCTAAATAGGACCTAGATTATTTAATACTCTGGTAACCTCAGGTCCGTGCTCTGTCACAATGTTTCATTGTGATTAATCAACAACCCCTTTGATAAAATATCAAATTTGGGGCGAATTTGAAAGAAAGGGAACTTGGAGTGTAGAGTGCACTGCCCACCGGTTGATGCTGAAGTCGGGCCAAGTAAGTGGGTTAGGGTCTAATGATTTCTTATTTTATTTTATACTCTCTATATTATAATCTGTGAATCAGTTTTAGGATTTTGGGTTAACAGAGGCAGAGCGCGGAGGGACCGCTTAGAGAAAGCATTATGTTCATACTTGAAGGGTTCAGAGCGGCTAAGGTGGTAGTTTGACCTTCCTTTCAAAACCAATTTGGCTCTAGAACAATTTTAAACTGTTTTCTGCATTATTCACATGATGCAATTATTGAGAAGAGCTCGATATAAAGTAGCTTAATACAATTAAATAGAAATGCCAAAATCATACCGAGTAGCTTGAATTGCGCTCGCGAGAGGCTACCAAATATGGGTTCTCTTTTTCATCCATAATAATTTAGGGGGAGCGGGAAAGTGAAACGTTGCGATCTAAGAGCGAAATAGAGGCAAATAACATAGGGATCACAACACCATGACCCAAACGATTAACCAACGTATGCGGCTAACACTTCTTCTTCTTATTATTCGCATTTAAAGCTTATTGCTGAGTGCATATTAGCTTATTGCGTGCTCTCAACTTAGTGTTCTAAATACACTTCCACAGTTATTAATTGAGAGCTTTCGATGCCAATACCAATGCATGATTTTGTATATCGTGTGGCAAGCACAATGATACTCTATATGCCCAGGGAAGTCGAGAAAATTTCCAACCCGAAAGATTCCCTCGACCGGACCGGGAATCGAACCCGCCGCCTCCGGCTTGAAAATACCGCGCATTTACTGACACTTCACTTGTTCTATTTCTTTCTTCTTCTTATATACCAATATTAACTTTCTGAGAACAAATGGGAACACCCGCAGGGATGTTCTGAGGCATAACATCTCTGATCACGCCTTCCTTCGGATGGGAAGTAAAGCCGTTGGTCCCCGGTTCATGAGTTGATGGGTCGATAGGTAGGGTCCAGGTGTGGGAGCTGCCTTCCTGGCACGTCGGTAGCATTGGTGCTCAGCACGGAAAACAAGATCGACGGAAAAAACAAACCAAAGGAAAAAAAAAATGGGAACACGGCCAGATGTTCAATAGAAAGGAAAAAAAAAGCGAGAGAGCGTGAACTATAAAAGAAGAGAGTAAGCAGTCAGAAAGGATCACGCCGGTTGGAGAGAGCCAATTTATACTGGACGGAACTGGTAAGTAGGATAATAATTGTTAAAAATTGTTTTTTTTTTATCATAGTCACTTTAACACTCTTGGGTCATTCGTGACCCAACAAAATAAACAATTGAGATAAAATATACATCGTAAACAAATCCGCAACTTTAATAAAAAAAAATAAAATACAAAAGGTATGAAAAACTTCAATAGAAGTCCAAGGCCATCTGTATGGTAGAGCTAAGGCCAGGGCCCCAAGCTGGCGGCAGACATTTGATAATAATATAAAGAAAGAGAGAAGGATTAGCAGTTTCCCTTTCCTTCTACTACCTTAATTGCTATCGATGACAGATAGGTGTATTTCGTCTACAATGTAATTACTTCTTCAGTGTCTTGTGCTGATACTAATATTCGACTGGTCGTAATCTTATATGATGAAATAAATTAAAAATATTTTGGGTATTGTTTGACCCTCTACTTGAAGAGCATATTTTAGCACATAGAAACATATTTTGGAAGAGGTAGCGTATTGTCTGTACTGGTGTGGCCAAATTTCGGGGAAGTTACTGAATTGATAGATCAATGTACTACTCCATAAGATCATTCATCTCTACATGTTTCACATATGGAACACTTTACATTCATTTTCAGATGTGTGTTTGAATCTGAACCAGTATATCGAGTTATCATAGTTCAGTAATGTCCCACATAGGAGAGGACCTCGATGACGGCAGCAAAGACAGTGAGTGCTGTCCACTGCTAGATATAGTGAAATAAGAACCTGATTTTCTGATAGAAAATCCTGACGATCAATTACTTAACTCCTTCATTCAGTAGGTAAACGGAAAGTTTTTTCAAAGTCCTAATACGCCTAATAACGACCATTTGGCATCAAGAGAACAAAGTCAGTTTTACAATAGTATAATATAAATATTATCGGACAAAATGGGCCGAGGCTCTCAGAATTTTATGATTTTTTCCATGGTTGAAGTTTTCAGATTTTCCCGGACATCAATTTCTTTGAAAATGCATAACTCATGAACCAAATGTATCATCGAAACAAAATTGTATAGTGAAAAAATTGGGACACCCGAAACCGAAATGGGAAACAGCCTTGTTAACACTCCGAACACGATGCCTCCGGTAAAATGTGTAACGGCAAATGACAATGTTGGAAAAATAATTGCTCAGCAATTTATCGATAGATTTTAAATCTATTCATACTGAATAAATCTTTAAAGTATAAAGTTTCAAATGGGGCCAATAGATTTGAAATTCGTCAATAAATGGATGAACTATGATTTTTTGAAAACATTGCAAGTTGCATCTTGTTCGGAGTGTTTAGATTATCCATAGACAGTAGGGTTTAACGAAATTAAATATAATACATACTTAGTCTTTTTGACGAACGCATATTGTCCCCAACACGAGATGAGGGGAAATTTCAACCTGGCGAAGCACAGTTTTCCACAATGATCACGCCGACCGAGAACGTGATCGATGAATTTGGCCTTAATCGCATGGATGTCGCAAGCTCCTGTAAACCAAACATAACTAAACTTGTATCTTAGATTTTCAATAGCTAAAAAAATAGACAAATGACTACTTCCCATCAACCTGCAGCAAGATGTGAAAGACCCCCGGATTCCTGGAAGTGTCCACCAAACTTCTGATGTTGTTTGTTCGTGCAAACTTCAGGTACGGGTAACGATTCGCTAGGAATGCAATCCACAGTTTTCGAGTCGTCGATACGGCTAGGCAAACACAAATAATGATTAGTCAACCAAATTTACACACTGAAGTCTTTATTTTGATATTTAAAAATATTCATGTTTATTAGCGCTGACCACCAGTTGATCACTATCGTGCTCTACACGTGGCGTTCCTTCGCCGGGTATATTTATGTAAACGATAATCACATTTATTTTCCCATTCTTCAGTTGATGAGGATGGGGCACTCGACTTCGATTCAACGTCCAAATGTTATGTTTACGAAATACTAATGAAGCCAAAACTCACTTGCATAGCTGATAACGAATGCTGGCAGGAGCGCACAGAACAACACGAAAAATAATAGCGTCTTCGCAGCTGATTTGACTGATTCATACAGTCTTCCTCCCACAATCATGTTTAGCTTTTATGTTTGGCTTCCCTGCCTGACGAATATACCTAGCTGTTGACTAGACGAATTTAGATTACAAGCAAGGAGTTCAAAAACAAAATTTGAAAAACATGCGCGGACTGATCGTACAGTTTAAACTGCTCTCGTTAAGGCGCTTCACTAGACTGATACTCAAAGTTGATGCTCGGAGAATGTAAAGCTGAATGATGGATTATCAACTAATCAATTAAATTATTTCGTTTCGCTGAGAGGCTACATTTTCGGTGCATTTGCAGGTATTTGCTCTGAGAGTAGTTCGATTCTGAGTCGGTTCGAGATGCAGCAGTCGTGGCCGAGCGGTTAAGGCGTCTGACTAGAAATCAGATTCCCTCTGGGAGCGTAGGTTCGAATCCTACCGACTGCGGGTATTTTTTATGCCCCAAAGTAACCACCAAGCCCGTTAATAGCCCGATAAGCAATGATGCCACATATACAGATTTATCTGTAATCATACAATTTTTTTTTCTCAATATGCACACTTAATCATGGTTTCCATGTTCGGTATTTTTTTCACAGTTTTCGAACTGAAAATCATAAAAATTACCGATCATTCAGTTATTCTCACTAGAACTACTCATGGCCAGTAGCTTTTGCGACTACTGAGTGTGGTAATATAGCAAGTACTGAAATTTCCGTATAATAACCAGGTGAATGAATAAACTTCAGTAAAATAGATTACTGAGTTTTCAGCTTTTTTAATATAGGGGAAATGGATGTAATGTCGGCCTAAATGCTTCTAATTTGGGCCCATACATAAATTCAGCAATCGACAAAATTTTCAATAGCGACCAAAATAGCCATTAGTACCGTCATAATGACGCGTTGATGAAATTGATAAATAGCAGATTTTTAGCGATGAGCCCAATCTTAGATCCCAAGGCCAACATTAGAGCCATTTCCCCTATATCTTTATTAAGGAGACTTTCAGCCCTGGGCTGGTTTGTCTCCGGCGCCTTTTTCAGTATTGATTATTTTTTACTGAACGAAGAAAAAAATTCCAAGATTGCTGAACACCAGTAAATCAAATTACTTGCGCCATCCTACTCCGTTCCACCTCGCACACTTGATGATGGAAATCTTTGCCTAAAATCAGCAAACCATTGTGAACATCAATTAAACATCTGGAAGTCGATGCAGAGGTGCAGAAACTGCCACGAGATTGTGCAGTTTCTGCACTTCTGCAACGACTTCCAGATGATTCACTGATTTCGAAGCAAACACATTCAATAAAATTGCCTCGTGTAGATAGCCACAAGCCGGTCGAATCACCAGGAAGCCAAAACTAGTTCAGGATTTATAAAAATAGAACTACTACTCCGCCACTTAACATGTTAACCTCAGTTGCCGAATAAAAATCTTTAAAATTTTCAAAAATAATCAATAATTTTATTTATAAATTTGCTGACTTCCTTGCTAGCGCCAACATAATCAGCAGACTCCTCTGGAGCACCGAGGAAGATCCCATGGGTAGTGATCATCACCCGGTGGTAATTCGACTTGACGACCAGCCACAAGACATCTCACGTAGACCACGTTGGAGGTATGAGTTGGCTGACTGGTCACTTTTCCAGGAGACTATTAGAGTTAATTTTACCAACTCGACACCGGACAATATCCAGGATTTCATCAGCTCTGTCTACCAAGTGGTAACCACATCAATCCCGCGGACAAGTCCCAACCTGGGAACCAGGTCGTTACCATGGTGGTCTCCTGAGACAAAAGCTGCTGTTAAGGCCAGAAGGAAGGCTTTAAGGACAGCTAAACGACTGCCCGCGGACCACCCCTTGAAGGAAGCGGCACAAACTGCATACAGAACTAAACGGAACGAGTGTAGATAGACCATACGTACCGCCAAAAGCTTGAGCTGGGAGAATTTCCTCGACGGTATTAACGCTGGACAGACGGCCTCTGACCTATGGGGTAAAGTCAACGCGTTGAGCGGTAAGCGAAAGTATCGTGGCATGGCTATTCGAATAGACGGCTTAATAACCAGATACCCCGACAAAATTGCACATGCTATGGGGGAGTACTTTGCAACTCTTTCGGCTCTTGAAGGATATGATGACCATTTCCGTCGCACAAAAAATGCGACAACGCATTCGTTGGATAATTTCCACATCCCGGAGGACGATCTACCACTGGAAATTAACCAACCTTTCGGACCAAGAGAGCTTGATTTAGCCTTGTCCAAGGCTCACGGCAAATCAGCAGGCCCGGATGAAGTAGGATACCCTCTATTAAAAAATCTGCCACTGGAAAGCAAACGTACCCTTCTCAGCCTCCTCAACAGCGAGTGGCTAGGAAATACTATTCCTGAAGAATGGAGGCACAGCCTTGTTGTCCCAATTCCTAAGCAGGGAGCTGCGAGTCGCGAGCCAAAGGACTTCAGACCAATCTCTTTGACATGCTGTGTCAGCAAGGTGCTGGAGCGGATGGTCAATCGTAGACTCGTGCTCTACTTGGAGAGTAACGGCTACATTGACCATCGCCAGCACGCCTTCCGTCCCGGACATGGCACTGGGACCTATTTCGCCACACTTAATCAGGTACTTCGGGACGCGAGGGATGCCGACCAGCACGTGGAGCTAGCAACTTTAGACATCGCCAAGGCATACAATCGGACATGGACGCCTGACATCCTTGTCCAACTTGCGGAATGGGGTCTGTCCGGCCACATTATCCATTTTCTGAAAAATTTTCTCCAACATCGTACTTTTCAAGTATGTATGGGCAACCATAGATCCAGATGTTTCCCGGAGGAGACTGGCGTCCCACAAGGCTCTGTGATCGCAGTCACGCTGTTTTTAATACGGATGAACGGAGTTTTCAACAATCTTCCCAAGGAAATATACATTTTTGTGTATGCAGACGACATCGTCTTGGTAGTAGTTGGCATCCGGAAGACAGTTCAACTTTTACACCAGAAAGGTTCCGGCCCAGGACATAAAGCGGTGGATCACAATCACTATATGGAACTGCTGGACTAACGAATCGATGCGATCTCGAGACTTATTTATCCGGAAGGTAAAAGGGGATACCAGGAAATGGGAGGATCCACCTGAACACCGACTTCAAGTCATTCTATCTCGGTTGAGAACCGGACATACCAAAGTCTCCCACAACATGGGAGGCGGAGGCGGATTCAGACGGCAGTGCGAGACATGCAATGTTCCACTTACAGTGGAGCATTTCTTATGCGAATGCCCCCAGTACCACGGACCCCGTTCCCTTTTCGGGATCTCAGGTAGCATCAGGGATACCCTGAGGGATGGCCCATCCAGCATCGCTGCACTATTCTGCTTCCTTCAGGAAGCAGGTCTGATTAATCAAATTTAAACACCCAAGCAACGACAACGGACAATGATTCGGACTCAAAACTATACCTCGGCAACAAATACTGACTCGGACACGGATGAACGAAGATATTGAACCAAGCAAAGCACGTACAAGGACACGGAAATGGACGAATGACGGCACTAAAATTAAACACACCGACTTCAAAGGAACAGGACACGGAACTTGACCACTTGACCACGATAATCCAAAAGGACAGTAACATCGGTAGCATTAAAGGAAAATTCCCAACTCTGAAATATTAAAACTCTGTTATTATGGAGACTCCCTTCTGGAGCTCCCACCCATCTCCTAACTCCGTATCCTCGGGGTTCTCCCCTGGAACCTCACCTCCCATTCCTATTAGCTCTGTAATTAGGGGGACTCCCGTCTGAAGTCCCCACCCCTCGTCTTTAAGAGATGAACCAGCCCAAGGCTGAAAATCTCTCTAATAAAGCAAAAAAAAAAAAATTTCCTGACTTATACTCGGCAAAAAATGTAAACAAATAAAGTACTGAAAATCAAGCGCAATGCCAGCGGAAGCGGAACAGCAGCGAAAAAGCTCGATCTGAGTAAGCCTACTTGTCGGATTGAAAACTAGCTAGAACCTGCTAGAACCAAATCGACTTCGGTTAGGCATCTTGATGTCATTTGTGACAACTGTCAAACTTTTCGTTTCCGTTCCGCTTCCGCCCACATTGCGTTTGTGTGCCTTTACTAACTAAAACGAAGATTTTTGACATTGTAGAGATTCTATGAATTACGGAGTTGTCAGTTAAATCAAAAGGACTGGGTTGATTACTGAAAACTCAGCTGTTTAAAAATCCAGTAAAATTTTAAGACTTTGGTAATCTAAACTCTGTGTACTGATTACATTTTTTTTTTTTTTTTATATTCTGATTTTTCAAATAAGCGGAATATATGTTTAATTCTGAGGTGACATAATAAGATATGCCGCGGATACACTTGTATGACCATGAGCATTATCTCGGCATTATTTGTATAATAATTATGAGCACTATACAAAAACTAAACAACTAAACAAAGTGTGACCATGGATATGCTCATAGTTTATTATACAAATAATGCTCATGTTCATAGTTGCGCATAGTTTGTCATACAAGTGTACTGCCCTGTGCGGCATAACAGTCCCATTAGCATTTTTGGCGATTATGAGTTATACATTGGAATCGATTGTCAAGTACCATCACTTTACAATGTACACGAAAAAAATCCTACTTTGTTCAGAAAATGTCGCGAAAAATAACAAAACTATGTTGTCCCATCCATAAGAGCCCATGGAGAAAAAAATCTTCAACAGCGTTTTTCTCAGCTTGCAGTTTTAACGAATGGGACAACTATGCTGAAAAGGGCAGTGTATCCGCGGCATAAGTAACAAGAAAAGATTTTAAAGTTTGTTTTTGCCACATAAACCTGCAAATTTAACTTTGACAGAGTCACAATGAGCGATTTTCTGATCACCTCTTCGCGAAGAGTTAAGAGTGAAGAGTGGATGAGAATTCAGGGTGCCTTCCATTCATTTTGACTAAAAAATTGTTTTAGGAAATTATGGAATAATAAGAATAATAAGAAAAGATTTTAAAGTTTGTGTTTGACACATAAAACCTGCAAATTTAGCTTTGACAGAGCCACAATGAGCGATTTTCTGATCGCCTCTCCGCGAAGAATGAAGAGCGAAGAGTGGGTGAGATAAATGACAAAATCGCTTATTTCGACTCTCATGCAGCAATATTGGCTAGTATTATGTGTCAAATACAAACTCCACAATCTTTTCTTGTTGCTTACACA